GAGCAATCAAAAATATTCGGTTCTGGCCAACTAGGGTTGCTGAGCTTCCTGTGTAAAATTCACCGCGTTTGCTTCATACGCAAAAGCTCTTCGGTCTGATCCCAGCCAGCAGCTGCTTTCGTTTTTCCGTTGAACAATGTGCCATGAAAACTTCCATAGCAGAATTTTCATCATTTTGACATCAGGTCAGATTGCAGCATTTCTCCTAGAACATCGAGGTGAAACTGTGCAGCAAAGGAAGTATAGCAGAAACTGGAATATCAGCACCTTCAGCAATCACAATTTCGTGGAGGTCCTGTGGTGTAGTGGTTATCACGTCTGCTTTACACGCAGAAGGTCGCCGGTTCGATCCCGGCCAGGGCCTGCCTTTTGCAGTGCTTATTCGTAAAACAGGGCTGCAAACTCAATTCGGGCTTTTGCCACTTTTTGCATGAGAAGTCGAAGCTCGACTTATCCATCGGACTGGAACAATGTAAGTAGAGCGACAATCAAAACGACCACTGTGGTCCTGTGGTGCAATGGTTAGTGCGTCTGTTTCACACATTGATAATTTACGGTTCGTCTCACATGAAGATGTGTATCGGTACTTTTGAATGAACAAGACACCAAGTGAATTCCAATTCACAAAGGAGGACTTTACAACACTAATGGGCAGAGCTATTATAGAATATCCGCTAATGGAAAGCTATAGCCAACCGAAATAATCAAGGAACAAATAGTATAATTTTTGGTGTACAAAAATCTCCTGATGATTATTCTCTGTAGGGTATTCAGGTCGGTTCACCAAATAGAATTCGGGTACTTTTCGGCTATAAGGGAACACATAACTATCCCACCTCGTTTGCTGTAGGAGAATTTTTCATGGGAGTATTAGTAATCAATCGAAAGCCTCAATCTCTGGCTAGAGTAGTATATGGCCGACTTTCGAGAAGAGAGTTTTACAACGCTGTGAAGTTCAAAATAACATTATGTATCACACGCGCATACTTTTCGCCGGGCAGAGCTCAATCATGAGACTTTAGTAATAAATCGGTTGCGTAAGATTTAAATATTCCAGCCCTGTGCTTATTTTCAGGAAAGACCGTTTCTCTGCAGCCCAGCGGGGAAAACAAGATTGGAATCACTTGCGAGACAAGGGGACTTTGGTTATCCTGTGGGGTGGGAAGGACCTCCATGTCGTGTTTCCCGCGAAGCAATAGTTGAATTGTGGGCGGATATGAAACGAAATTTTGTTTCGAACTTTACAGCATTAATAAGGGGTTTTTTCGAAAAGCGGTCATGTATGGTCTTGGCAAGAGATTTAAGCTTTCGATCTAACACTCCTATGAAAATCTCTTGTACAGCTACAGCGAATAAGGTTGAATATTCATTTGTCCCTTATAACCGAACAGAGTCGAATTCGTTGTCTTGTATTCCAACCTATCCCTTTTTACTGTTTCCCAGATGTGTAACATTACATAGCAAATATCGTTCATGTATCTATTATATTCTCTAACTATGTTGAATTTTTAGGCAAGATCTCACAATAGTCGATTAAAAGGGATTTCTATATGCAATTTTTAGGAGCCATGAGCCATGCAATCAACATCAATCACTGAAAGAACGCCATACCAAGTGATCTTTTTACTTGACGTACAGTGATAGATCTTTGGAGACGAATTCTTATCATAGTGCGGACGAGCAATCAAACGGCATGTGATACTGATGAGGCTTGCCGAGCCGTAACGTACGTTTAACTCTGGAGGTGTCATCCCAGATCTCATGAAAAGCTCAAAACATTCTATCACTCTAAAAATTTATTATTCTTTTTCCATATGTGAATGTACACAGTACAACTGAAGTTTTCCTCCATACAATGGATAGATAAATTTTGGAGCATCTTTGGCTTTCTTTGCTCGATACCCATCTATTTGTTGTTGCTCAGATTTCTTTGCTTTTCTGCTGACACCACGCACGTCGTCAATTGGTGGACCTTTTCGTCTTCTAATGGCTTCCATATATCCTCGAGCGTGATTTGGTGAGTCACCTTTGATACCATAATCTTCCATCTCCTCAAATGTAGTGGGCTGCCAATACGGATCCTGTAAAGTCGAATGAAACGAGGACTTGGGATATTATTGATGACCAAAAAATACAATTTATGATTGAAAGCTACACTTCTGTAACTGCTCGTAGATTGTTTAAAGCTGAACCCTGAAGGGATGGAAGCTCTGAGTCAGTACTGAGTGGAATCGGAGCACATTTTACCCCTTCGGGATGGGCGACCATTTTTGGCTGGCGCACGCTTCGGACTGTACGAAGAGCGAATGTTGTAGGAGGAGTGCTTTAACTAATATTCTAGTATTTGTACGGTGAAATTACTACTTCAAAAGATCTCTACCATCACTAAAAGGTGGAGTACCACTGAACAGATTCTCACGAAAATGTTATGAGCCAAAAGAACGCTCATGTGTCCTAACTAGCTGTCTCGCAACTATCTATCAAGAAAACAATTCGAATCGAGTTTAAGATTTGCAAGGACTTAGAAATCTAATTAATTCACTCTTAGAGTTGAATTCTGATCGGACTTGATTCTCCTACAGACAGTGGGGGGTACCCGTACCTTGGCGGAGCCGGAGTCATTCTTTACTCTTTCGGATATGCGATGTTATTTCGGTTCACTGCATAAGCAGGTGAATTACTTTCAAAGAGATCTAAAAACTCTCGCCTTTGATCGATCTCTGAGATGTTCCATGCAGTCGACTTCATCAAGCATTCCCATAGGCGTCTGAATGCGTATCTGGCCTCTACAATGACTCGCGGTGACCTTCCGATGTACCAAATCAATGCTGTTACGCTACCAAGCAAGTCTGATTACAGCTTGTTCACCCCGAAAAGATGGAAGGTTTGCGAACCATGCGTTTTGAGTTCAACATTTGACCATGTGCTCGACGCTGAATACTTTACCCTTGCGCGACAAACTATTGAACGATATGAATAATGTTTGCATCCCCACCTTTCTCTTTCCATGATTATGGTTTGAAATCTTTCGTGAATATCTTGACTTCGACACAACGTAATATTATCATTACGCCTGAGAAATTTCTAGTGTTTTGATTGCATTTTTCACATAGTTATTGATGTTTCACACATACCTAGGAGGACTGAGTGGTGCGCAAAAGCGCGACCTCGGGCGAGAGTCGAACCCGCGTTTCACCCATGAAGCAAAGCGCGCGCTACCACTATACCACAAATTCATCGTTTCACCACCACTCATTCTCCAATGTCTCTACTATTGTTATCACTCACGAATCTATAACAAGTTTGTCGGGTAAGCAATATCGCATTATAAACCCAGTTGAGCTGATAGCCATTTTGGTATGTAATACTCGTGATTCCTAATGTTTTCATGGTGTATGTATGGGTTAAGCGTGGGTTCAACTCTCGCCTGAGGTAGAATTTTTGTTCACCACTCAGTTCTCTTAAGTGTGATGGAAACATCATACGAGTGCGAAAAATGAAGTAAAAACATTAGAAATCATGTGTAATGATGTTCAATACAAATCAGTTATTGCAGGCCTCCTTCGCTGTTTGTTTATTCTTCAAGACTCATTCAATAGCGCAACTCTTGGCGGTTTCGAGGATTTTCTTTTTCCCTGAAGAGCGTTTTTCAGCTCATGTAGAAGCGTAAATAGAGTTGAGTTTCACACTCGGCGCGAAGCTTTTGTACGACTGGGGTGTGTGATTGGGCCCGTCGATGAAATTTCGTATGATTCGCAACATACAAGACTGAAGTAGTTAGGTTCTAAATGGTCCTCTGACAAAGTTTAGTATTAAACCTTTTGTTTCGAGTGTTTTCTTGAGACCATGTTCAAATTTCAATATATTACATAATTATTATTTCAGTCAACATGTCATGCGGTTTGTTGATAGGCCCTTGTGCAGCCCGATACACGTGTTTTGCCTTAGCAGCCTTGTCAGTCGAGCAGAACCCTTTGTCTTTAGCCAGCCCTTTCGGGGTGTTACAGTCTCCGACTCAGGGTAGGCGACGACGAACGATTTACACAACTGCCATTAAGTGAAAATCACTAGATCGGCAGTGTTGAACACTTGCTTGCTCTTGGTTGTTATTTTGAAGTATTACACCGCTCGTTTCGAGTGTTTTTTTTCAGATCACACTCAAATTTCAATATAACTCATAGATACCTATTTGAGCCAACATGTCATGTGGTCTGTTAGTGGGCCTTTGTACAGCCCGATACATGTGTAACAGCCAAGAACAATCGAGTGTACAGAACTGCAAATCCAATGATTTCTCACTTGACGGCAGTTGTGTAAATCGTTCGTCGTCGCCTACTCTTTAATGGGGTACTGGAGCACCCCGAGAAAATTGGCCAAAGACGAAGGGCTCTGCCCGACTGACGAGGCTGCTCAAGGTCGAAACACGTGTATCGGGCTGTACAAATGCCTATTAACAGACCACATGACGTGTTGGCTCAAATATTGACTATGAGGTATATTGAAAGTTTCAGTAGCTAACTGACATCGTGAATCTAGGCGATTCTGGACCTATGTCTGATTTTTCGAAAAGTTCTTCGTAGAGCGCTGGAAGAGCGAACAGAAGATTACGTTGCGCACTCCTTGACTTAGGCTTTATAGCGAGTTCATTTGGCAGTATAAGATAAAAATTGAAGCCTAAGCTAGTAGAACGGTAAGACAAATAATGCGTGGCTTGAACTTTCGAATAGAGGTTGTAGGATAGTCAACCCAAAGAGCACTGCCTATCAGATCTTTGGCGGATCAAACCAGAGATCTTCTGCGCGCGGAGCAGACGTCACAACCACTACACCACCAAAGCCTAACGAGCATTGATTCGCCAAGAGCAGATTGTGTTGCCGTTATACATCGACCGCTTTACGGTTTTGGTCGATCCTTGAGGCAAAAGTCGAAATCCGATCTGCGTGTTAAAATCTTCACTGTGAAGACTTTCATAGTAGTTTGTTCAGTGAAAGAGCAAAACTAGGTCCTGGCCGGGATCGAACAGGCGGTCTTGGGCGTGTAAAACAGACGTGATAACCACTGCACCACAGGACTCCGACGGACATTGTTTCGCTAACATCGGTGATTTTCCGGTTGCTGCTAAACTTTCATCGCTATGCTTTTCTTTAAACCTTTCATTCGAAATTCTAGAAAGCTGTAGCAGTCAAAAAAAAACCTTTCATGTTCGGCGCCTATTACCGCGTGTCTAATAATCGTGCCGCGCGCGGCGACCAAGGCTGCCTCGAAAGGACGAGGGTTTCGTTATTTATTTGGGAATTTTTTCTCCGCTTGTAGAAATTTCTAAATATATTTTGAAAATGCAGAAAAGATTGTCAAATAATGGAAGTATAGTGGCAACTAAGGAATCACCGGTGCTGCCGACACATTAATGTGGAGGTCCTGTGGTGTAGTGGTTATCACGTCTGCTTCACACGCAGAAGGTCGCCGGTTCGATCCAGGCCAGAACCTTGTTTTGCTCTCTTCATTGAACAAATCTCCATGAAACTTTTTATACCAAAATAAGAGCGTCTACATGTTACAAGTCAGATTTCGACATCAACAGCGGAGACTTTGAAGCGATATTGGGGAACGATGGAGTAAATCAGGATCACAAGAATGACTGAGTTTGACGAAACACCGATTATGGCGATTCCATGATGTGATGGTTATTACTTTCTGTTTGACATGCTAAAGATCGTCGATTCCACTCCGGTAAGAGGCCAAGGTTTGGCAGTATTCATTGAACAAGTTGTCGTGATGACTTGGTGCTTTCCCGTTATCTCAAGACAATTATCCATCTTACAAGAACAGGGTCTTTTCCCCTTTTTTTGCAGGATTTTAGAGGTGATTGGACAGCACAAATCTCATTGATTCGAACACTGCGCTTTTGTCCCGAAATTGCACTTTTAGTGCGTTGTAGCAGTAAAAATGAGGTTGAGTTTGACACTCGGAGCGTTTTTCGCTGGACACGCTTTTCTCTTGAACATTTAGGAATCAATCAGTAGCCCGAACTTCGGCGATCTTGAAAGTGTGCTTGATTCTCGGAAAGGCCTGCTATTGCGCTGTAGTAGCCAAACGAAAATTATCTTTCACCTTTGGCGAGCATTATCGCGCATTTCTCGAACGCACTGCGCTCGAAGATCTCAAAGCCGCTCCGGAAAGGACCGGTCTTCGAAATTTATTTCAAAATTTCTCTCTGTTTTGCAAAAAGTTGCGAGATTTTTGTATAAGAGTTGAAGGAAAATCATGGCAGAGTAGAAGTATAGCCGCCATCAAGAAATAAATAAAAAATTAGAGAGCTTTACGAAATGGAGAAACAATTTTCAATTTTATAGCGTGGATACGCGCGACTATGCGCACAAAAGTGAAACTTAAATTTGGCGCCAAGAAGGCCCTTTTAGAAAACAAGCACAGTGTAGGATTCGCCGAAAATCAAGCTATCTAATGATCTCTGAAAGTTCATGGAAAAAGCGAAGATAGCCTTTTTACCAAAGAGTTCGAAAACGCATTGCGATAATCGAATTGTAGCAAACTTTCTAAATTTTCGAATAGAGGTTGCCTTATATTATTCCTTAATGATTACTGCAAAATCAGGTTTGCCTCCTGACCGAACCAATGACCCTCTCCGTGTAAAGTAGACGTGATAATCACTTCACCAAGGGCTCCAACGTACGGCGAACCCATGAAGTGGTGATCTTGAATCGCTACCGTACTTCCATCGCTCTGCCGTTTCTTTCTAAAGTTTCTGGTGCGATCGTCGGAATCTAACCTGTAATGTAAGGACGTTGTATTCTTGCTACGAAAGTTTTAAGGCCTTTTATTCAATAAACAAGGCAGAACTAGTTCCTGGCCGAGATCGAATCAGCGACCTTCTTAAGCAGATTTGTGACCACTACACCACAAAACCGCCATGGCTAGTGTTTCGCCAAAAACATTTTTCTTGAGTTTCTGCTATACTAGCACCATTTCACAGTTTTGCTTCGAAGTCTCCGAAGCAAATATCAAAATGTGACTAACAATGTGAAAATGTTGTGACTCTTGGCATTTTTCATGGCAGTTGTACAATGAAGAGACCAAAAGAAGGCCCTGGCCGGGATCGAACCGGCGACCTTCTGCGTGTAAAGCAGACGTGATAACCACTACACCACAGGACCTCAGCGGGCAGCGGTTCGTCAGGAGGTATGTTTTTTGAACAACCGCTCGACCCACAGCTCGGCGATTATGGTTTGAAGTCTATGGTGAATAATTCAAGCTTCAAGTTCAAGTGTGAAAACTTACCAATTTTCTAATAAAAGTTTTAGTATAGCCTTCTTCAGCTCTTAACCAGTTGACTCGTGCTAACCCAAAATACGCATCTGTACCAGCGTGGGAACGACTCCACCTCCTGTGCCCGATTGCTCACCGACTAGAGTACTACTTTCCGTTGCAAGATGAGCAGCTAAGTTTTGGACTGATTCGCGTCCGGTCTTGCAGCGAAAAGTAGTAGTATAGTCGGTGACTAATCGGAGCAATGAGGGTTCAACGTTGGCGAACACGCCCACTTAGGGTCAGCTGAAGTCGACCGTTTAAAGTATGGCCTTAATATGTGAGGCGGCGTCTCGTTGAGCTTCAAAGCAGCAGTTAGGGCTCGTTGTCATCGCAATGTTGTAGTTTCACTATGATGTTCACACTTATCGCTACTAAAGGCGGTTTTGTAACCACTAAAAATGAGAATACCGCTAAAGAGCATTCAATGAGGCCATTCGTAGTGGGAACAATGCCAACAAAAATTATAAGCCAGTAGTTTATCTGTTGAAATATACCCCACAATGCGTTTGATGGCTCTTGAAATATAGCTCCCTACAGATTTTGGTAAGTAAATTCCAATCGACCTTTTGGAGACCTCGCTTAACAATTCAATATAGTGTGATAGAATGTTTTGAGCCTAACTTTAGGTCTGCTATGGTACCTCTAGTGCTAGACGTACGTTTCGGCCTTCGCCTACGTCTAGCAATAGAGGTGCCATATCAGACCTCATGAAAGATTTAGAATAATCTATCAAATTATGTCGAATTTCCGACCACTAATACAGTTATGGACGCCGTGGCCGAGTGGTTGCGATGCTCGTTTGGTGCGCATGGAACTGAGCTCCACCCCCCTCCCACCAACTCCTCCGGTAGTCAGCAACAACGCCTTATGGAACGGTGCACCCACGCTTTCCTCGAGATTGCAAGGAGACTCGCTCAACCTAAATTCTACGGCGTTCAAGAAAGACGAAACAACGAATTCAGTGTTAAGGGTGCTGGGATCCGCACAGCAAAAAAAAAAACACTGTTAAGACGGATCAACTAAGCAAATAAATACAATTGGGTAGTTTTTCTTGAGTGTTGTATGAGAGACTTTGCTATCTTGTTTGATGAGCTATTAAATTCTTATATATCCATTTAAGCTTTACTGTCAACTTTTTTGTACTGTAACGTTTGCTGCCTTTTATGCGCAGTAATTGCAAATGGTCCATTTATTTCTTTTTAGTTCATCATGCTCTTGGGTAATTTTTTGTACCTCGTTTAGCTTCTGCTCTCCAAGTAACTCAAAATGCGAACATTTGTAGTTCGTTGCGGCCACGAGTCAGTACATGAAAGACTAAATCTGTTTCCCTCTTCTGATGGATATCAACTCCACAACTATGTGAGCAAGTTCTCTTCTGCATAATGCATTGAACTCATCTCAGAACCTCGTTCTTCCATAGTGAGCCAAGCGATGGAGAATGTAGTTTGGCAGATGAGAGATAATTGGTGAGTGCTCAAGGCAGTCGCTTGGAACTCTATCCTTTGAGGAAAGACTAGAAGGGGTTCGTTCATGGGGACGTAATGCTCACGTACAAAGAGTCACCCTACTGCTACGAAGAGCCTATATTGGAATGAAAGTTCTGGAGCATTTCAATAAGCATGAGATAACGCCCATGCATATTATGGGAATAGTACAGTTTCGTACGTAGCGTTTTCTTTTTGAAGGTCTAGATATTACTCGTCTTTATCTTCCCTTTGTCAGAAGCTTCCGCCATGTCCACTCTACGACAAGCCAAAGGAAAAGTACTTGGCCTTGTTCAACCTGAAGCGCGTTTTGATGCAGCAAGACAATGCCAGAGAACACAGTGCTAAAAAGACCAAAGTTTAATGAACTGGGCAGAGTCGAGGTTTTGTCGCAGTATAGCCTTTTCCGATCCGAACGTAACACCTTTGAAGGATCGCCGATCTGAATCATTCAATGAATTGAAGAAGCATGTCAGAGTTCTTTGATTTGAACTCGAAGGAATGGTACATCGACCAGATTCAAAACTTGGCGGACCGATGGCAGAAGGTCCTGAAAAAAGATGGTCATTATTCTAGAGAATAATTGTTTGATAGGTTGGACGTATTAGAGACCTATATATATCCTTACGGTAATCTCCAAAAAGATTCATTCATTGGAACACATATAAAAAGCGGTGAGTATGTTGAGAGTTGATCTTGTGCTTGATGCGATCGAAATCTAGATCTGGTAATTTTTTCTAAAGGAGTAAAGGAGGTGCTTGACTGATTGGGTTGTACATAACTTGACTTTTCCAGGCTCTGAAGAACGCGAACTGCCGAAACTTTAGCTGTTGAATAAAAGATACTATAACATCTCGAGTCTGACTTAAGAAGAAAATTAGGAATTATTGAAGCATGCCGAGGTTAATGAATAGTCAGGTTTCAGGAATTGAATAGTTTTTATCGTTCTTGTTGGAAATTCATGCATAAATGTTCAACTTTATACAAGTACCCCAAAACTTTCTTTCCAAGCCAATACTTGTGACCGATTTTACTCTAGTGTTACATCCAACATTGATGTACGCAGGTGGAAACAAATTCTCGGATCTATTTTCTGCAGACTATTGCAGAGCTGCTAATCGAATAATTTGTGTGTAGAAGTATGCCTGAGTAAAATTTTGAATTAAAGGCTTCGAACGTCACAAAAATATGATATTAGACTGTGCACTTTCTCAGAAGACGTAATCCACATTTTTCACTATTCGATTACTCGACGTTCACAGTTTTCCAAGACGCATCTTCGGAAAGTGGTTGACTGAGTAGAGTGTGATTTATTTTGACCTTCCCAGGTTCTAAAGAGAGCAAGACGCTCACAACTCCGTCTAAAATTGCACTGTGTTGTGCTCAATCTCATCAAGAGAACGTTGCTGAAAAGATAATCGGTGAGTGTCAAAGATGCCGTAACCCATAATCTTACCATACTCTTTGATCTTGACTAAATATGTTCAAGGCGACGAAGTGCTCAGACTAAGGAAACAAATCAACTTTTCCGAACTATACATGCTCGATGTTTGGGAGTTGATTAGAAGCAAATATGTCTAGCGTTCGGAAGAATGATGAATGAGAGAAAACGCTTTGCTTTCATCAAATAGGCGGCAAGAATGTGTAAAGCCGGAAATATATTCAACCCTTGAGGATGACGTTTTCCTACGAATTAATATAGTCTGTTAAGATTCAGAAGCGCTTTTCTTACTGAAAATACCCATTAAAATCTGCTTGATATGTTATTCTTTCATGACGAAGAAGTGCTCCCATTACAAGAACCTTGCTATACAACTGTGAACAAAACCCGCTCTGAACTTCAAACCGTGGGCCTAAGTGACTAGAAGTTGAGGCGTACCTACACTTCGTTGGTACTGTGCCCTGAGAAGGCATTTCCGGAAACTAAACCGTCTACTATAATCATAGCCTATCCAGTGACCACCAGAAGTGTAATTACTGTAGATTGTCAGAAGTACAAATTCTATGCAACAAGGATAAATTGTTGACCGAAATAAAGATATTAGGTTGTACCATAAGTTTTGGCACTAAAACAGTAAACACCACCTGTTTTAAACCAAGTGTAGTTAAAATTGCATGTTTTGCTATCGTTCTACTGTCCATTTCTAGCCAACATTTTGGTAAGCAACTTGTCTATAGTTGCTCCAAGATGGAGCTGTCTTGGAAATAAATTTGCTTGCTACTCATGCACGAATGGCGTGTAGAGGAAAATGCTAGTGACGAGGCAAAAGATTTATGGAGCTTGGGGCGATGATAGGGTTGCAGAAATGGCGGCTAGGAAGTTATTAACGAAATTCAAAGCTGGAGAGGACATTCTGGAGGATCAGTGGAGCTCGGGCCGTCCTCGGGACGCACCAGTGATGTTTCACTAGCATTTTCCCCTTACGCGTCAGTATCAGGCTAATTCGTTCTCAAGACAGCTCCATTTTAAATCATCCATATGGAATTTTTGTACGAAAATGTTTGCAAGAAAATGCGCAGTTGAACGATACCAAAACCATGCAATTTTAAGTACTTCTTGATAGATCTGGTGTTCAGTGCTCTGATGCCAGCACTTATGGAACGATCTAATAATTCGCTGCTGAGCTATGCTGATTGTACTAACTGCTGATTGCTGAACAAATATGCTGAAGAAAAGAAATGATGGGCCTGGGTTAGAAAAAGCATCTCTTCTATGGCAATTAGTCCTCAAATTGATAAATGCGAAAGCTATTGAGGCCTACTTTGGATACATGCCGAAATCTTCTTCGCATAAGTTCCTCTTAGATGTTCTATATTGTGGAATGATAATTATTTTTTGAGCCAACATGTCGTGTGGCCTTTTATGGACATTTATAGAGCCCAATACACGTGTTTTGGCCTTGACAGCCTCTTCAGTTGGGCAGTACTTTTCGTCGTAGCCAATCCTCTTGGGGGTCTGCATCCCCTTACGTAGAGAAGGCGGCAACGTGCAATTTACACGGGCTGTCAAGTGTGATAAATTGCTAGATCAGCAGTGTTGGACATTCGATTGCTCATAGTAGAATATTAGTCCTTGAGGTACATTCTTATGAGACAGGCAATACAAATATAGACTGAGGGTGGAAGGCATGCTCTTCTTCCAGGGTTGTAGCTAAGGATTGTAAATGATAATTTTTGGGACACCTTGGCATTCTTTATGCTAAGAATACGTCTACTCTGTAAATATCCATGATTTCGTAGAGATGAATTTTTTTCTGGAATCAGCATCACTATGGGCCAATAAATTCTCGCTCAAGTTCGGACAACGGGCAATTTCGTGTGGCATCGGTGATTTTCCAGTTGCTGCTAAACTTTTATTGCGTTACTTTTCGTTGAAACTTTTATTCGAAATTTCAGAAAGCTGTAGCAGTCAAAATAAAATTACCTTTCATGTGCGGTGCCTATTATCGCTCGTCTGATAATGGTGTTGCACGCCGCGACTTTAAAGCTGCCTCGAAAGGACGAGAGTTTCGTTTTTTATTTGGGAATTTTTCTCCGTTTGTAGAAATTTCTGAATGTTTTACTTTAGGAATGCAGAAAAGGTCGTCAAATAATGGAAATATAGTGGCAATAAAGGAATCACCGGTGCTGCCGAGATCCTGCCGCGGGGTCCTGTGGTGTAGTGGTTATCACGTCTGCTTCACACGCAGAAGGTCGCCGGTTCGATCCCGGCCAGGACCTTGTTTTGCTTTCTTCATTTTCTACACGCTACAAGTCACATTTCGACATCAACGGCGGAGACTTCGAAGCGATATTGTGGAACGATGGCAGTAAATCAGGAACACTAGAATGACTGATTTTGACGAAACACCGATTATGGCGATACCGTGATGTAATGGTTATTATCTTCTGTTTGACATGCTGAAGATCGTCGGTTCCATTCCGGTAAGAGGCTATGGTGTGGCAGTAATCATCGAACAAACTGCCGTGATAACTTGGTGTTTTCCTGTTACCTCGAGACAATTTTCCATCTTTCGAGAACAGATCTTTCAGGCATTTTTTGCAAGATTTTAGTGGTCATTCGAAAGCCCAAATCTCAGCGATTCGAACACTACGCTTTTGTTCCGAAATTGCCATTCTAATGCTCTAATGCGTTGTAGGAGGTTGAGTTTCACACTCGGAGCGGTTTGCGCTGGACACAGCTTTTCTCTTAATCATTTGGGAATCAATCAATAGCCCAAACTTCGGCGATTTTGAATTTCACCCTCGGCGAGCATTATCGCACATTTCTCGAGTGCACTGCCCACGGAGATCTCAAAACCGTCCCAGGAAGGCGCGGTCTTCGTAACTTATTTCATAATTTTTCTCTGTTTCGTAGAAAGTTACGGTATTTTTTTATTAGAAATGAAGGAAAATCATGGAAGGGTAGAAGTATAGCGGAGACTAAAAAATAAAAAAAAACCTAGAAACTTGGCGAAGTGGAGATAGAATTTCTAACTGAATAGCGGGGATATTCGTGACTATGCGCACCAAGATGAGACTTGATTTTATTTTCGCTGCTACAGCGCGCCCTTCTAGAAAACAAGCACAGTTTTGGATTCGCCGAAAATTAGGCTATCTAATGGTCTCCGAAAGTTCGTGGAAAAGCGAAGATAGCCTTTTTCCCAAAGAGTTCGTAAATGCCTGGGGTAATCGAATTGTAGCAAACTTTCTAAATTTTCGAATAGAGGCATATTATTCTTTTATATTACTATTCCCCATATTATTTCTTATTGAGCACTGCATAACCAGGTTCGCCTCTTGGATCGAACTAACGACCCTCTCTGTGTAAAGCAGACGTGATGATCACTTCACCAAGGGTCCCAACGTACGACGGATTACATGAAGTGGTGACTTTGAATCGCTACCGTACTTCCATCGCTCCGCCGTTTCCCACCAAACTCTTTTGTGCGATCGTCGGAATCTAACCTGCTAACCTGTATTGTAAGAACGTTCTAATTTTGCTAAGAAAGTTTTTAAGGCCTTATTTGATGAACGAGCAGATCCAGCTCCTGGCAGATCGATTCGGCGACGTTCTATAAGCTGATTTGTAACCACTACACCACAAACCGCCATAATCAGTGTTTCGCCTAAAAACTTTCTCTTGAGTTTCTGCTATACTAGCACCGTTTCACAGTTTTACTTCAAATTCTCCAGGGCAAATATCAAAATGTGACCCAGAATGTGAGAATGTTCCGATTCTTTGCATTTTTCATGGCAGTTGTTCAATGAGGAGACCAAAAGTAGGCAATGGCTGGGATAGAACCGGCGACCTTCTGCGTGTGAATCAGACTTGATAACCAGTACAACACAGGACCTCGACTGACAGGGAGTTGCCAAGACCGGTGATTCTGTAGTTGTTACTAAACTTCTATTGTTCCACGACTTTCTTCACAATTCATTCAAAAAGCCTAGAAATTTCCAGAAATGGAGAAAAGTGACCCCCCTGAGAGACTTGAAACATTGTATCGAATTATGTTGAATTTCTACGCGAGGTCTCAAAAGTCGATTGGAAGGTATGACGTTATGGTGGCGTAACAGCCGTAAGCCAGTCGACAATCATTCACTCTATAAGAACGCAACACTAAGTGATTCTTTCACTTAATCCTGCTCTCTTAATTATTCCTAAACTCTTGCTAATGTTAGCAGAGGCGAATCGAAGAGCACGTGGGGTACTTCTCAGTTATGAGGAAAGAAATGAACATTTGGCCTCATTCTCTGTAAAAGAACTCTTTATAGAAGTGTTGCCAACCACTCGAAAACCTAAATCTCTGGCTAGGGTCATACATGACCGCTTTTCAAAAAGACCAGTTTTTAATGCTGGGAGTTTAATATAAATTTCGTTTCACTTCTGCCCGCAATCCAACTATTTCTTAGCTGGGAACACGACATGCAGGTGTAGCGAAAACTTCTAATACCAGAGTCAGACGTTTGACCTGGAATTTCGAAAAAGAAGTGATCACTGAATAACAAAAATCGTACTTTCCTATGGCGCACGGAAGAGCAAATCTATAGATCGGCGGATTGAAGCGGTCACATCCTCCCTGCGCCTCGCCTTTCCACCCAGTAGGATAGCCAAAGCCTCCTTGTCGCGTAAGTGATTTTGATCTTATTTTCCCTAATGGGCTGCAGAGAAACGGTCTTTCCTGAAAATAAGCACAGGGCTGGAATCGTTAAATCTTACGCTATCAACTCACAACTAAGAGTCTCAAGATTGAGGTGTGCCCGACGAAAAATATGCGCGTGTTAAACGTGAATTTATTTTGAACTTTACAGCGTTGTAAAACCGTCTTTTCGAAAATCGGTCATATGCTCCACTAGCCAGAGATTCAAGCTTTCGATGAATTACTAACACTCCCTTGAACAATTCTTCTACAGCGAATGAGGACGAATACTTATTTGCTCCCTTATAACCGAAAAGTAACCGAATTCTGTTTGGTAAACCGACCTTAATACTCTACAGAGAGTAATCACCAGGAGATTTTTTGTGCACCAAAAATTGTACTATTTGTTGCTTTGATCATCTACCTTGGCTGTTACCTTCCATTAACGGATATTCTACCATAGCTCTGCTCCCTGTGTTGTGAAGTCCCTTTGTGAGTGGAAATTCCCTTGTTGTTTAGTTCATTCAAAAGTACCGATCCAGATCTTCAGGTGGGACGAGCAGTAAATTTTATTGTGTGAAAGAGACGCACTAACCATTGCACCACAGGAACACAGTAGACGTTTTAAATGTCACTCTACTTGCATTGTTCCAGCCTGATGGATAAGTTGAGCCTCGACCTCTCATGTGAAAAGTGGCAAAACCACGAATAGAGTTTCCAGTCCCTGTTTTCCCAATAAGCACTGCAAAAGACAGGTCTTGGCCGAGATCGAAGCGGCGACCTTCTGCGTGTAAAGCAAACGTGATAACCACTACACCACAGGACCTCGGCTACAGTGTGATCGCTGGAGGTCGTAATTCTCCAGTTTCTGCTATACTTGCTTCGCTGCACGGTCTCACCTCGAAGTCTCTAGGAGAAATGTTGCAGTCTGACCTGATATCAAAACGATGCAATTTTTACTATGAAAGTTTCTATGGCACTTTGTTCAACGGAAAAACGAAAGCAGCTGCTGTATGGGATCGAACCGATGAGCTTTTGTGTATGAGGCAAACGTGATGAACACTACACAACAAGCTCAGCAACCCTAGTTGGCCAGAACCGATTATTTTTGATTGCTCCACTATTATAGTTTGGAATCTTTTATGAACATATCGCTTTTTAACCTGTGATGTAAAAGCTCTTTGGAGTTTTTTTCCGTTTGGCACAGAATTTCAAGCCTATGCCTTACGCTGAAAAGGAGCTTTCGTAAAGAGTGTCAGTAATTATTCGAATGTCTAAATCTCAAGTTAGCTCTTTACGTGGCCGGTTTTCTGAGAAGACCTTTTTCTAACGCTGAGAAATTATTAAAAAAATTATGTCTCACACCCAACGCGCAATCTAACTATTACTTCGCTCGATGCACGGAAAGCACCTGGATGTGTAGAGAGAATCTTCTGGTAGTGGTATTGGAGTCAGATGTTTGATCTGAAGACTCTCACGTGTTTGAATGAATCTCATTTCTCCTGTTTCATTGCAGAGAAATATTCTTTTCAGGTTATAAGCAAAGCGTTGGAATCGGAAAATTTTACGCTATTGAATGATCACAATAGTGTAAAGAAAGAGCTTTGAACTGCGAGGAACATGAGCGTGTGAAACATAATTTTATTTTGAATTTTTAGCATTAAAGAAGGGTTTGCCCAAAAGACCGGCCACATACCCCTAGCTCGAAATTTATGCTTTCGAATAACTATTAACACTCTTTATGAAAACTTCTTGCCCACCGTAGGGATAGGCTTGGAAATCTGTGCTACCAAACAGAAAAGTACTCTCTTGGAATTTTCGAATAGAGGTGGCAGCATGGTGTTCTTCAGTGGTAACTTCCTTGTATACTTGGACGGCCTGTCTTCACTGATAATGCGAGCCCCAGCATAGTTTCGACTCGTTTCTCTTTGGCGCAGCTGTTGTGATGGTGATGGTCTGTCTCGAGCATGGTGACGTATGCAGAATTCATTCCGTCTTCTAAAGTTCGTTGCCATCTACTGATGCAGATGCTTGACGTTAGCCACAAACCAGACGGCCCATTGTTTGAGTGTTGTCCAAGAAGGCGTTTGCATTTCATTAGAGTTTACTAGTCCAATATGCTTGCTGAGTGTACCTACAAGTTATTAACGGAAATCATCTTTTGCGCATATGGTAGAATTTAGATGAGGCGCAGCCAGCTGTGCAAGCAGGATCCCGAAGGGATCGCTGCTGCATGGACCATATCGTTACCGTGTCACGGATCATAGCTATCAGTCGGGAATACCATATGTTCCTTGTTGTGACCTTCATTGACTAGCTTTGTATCACTCTACTACGACGAGGAGGGCATACTTGATGATGGAAAATTTCTAATAAGCCTTCTATTTTCAGGTAATATGGTCATCTTTCAGAAGAGTAGCAGTGAAAAAGAAAGATGGTTTCAGTATTGGGTTACGTATTAAAAACGACGAAGATCCAGTTCATGAATAATCCAGATTGCAGAGACGAACAAACTGAACTGGATGGCCCTCTGATTACAGAGGCACCTTGTACGTGTACCTCAGACGTTCAGTAAATTTGGGAATCAACATGAAGCATGGATTAGACGTAAGAAAAAGAGTAGTATGGACCACCGCCTTCGTGATTCTCAGAAAAAAAGGAACCATAGACCAGATTCCAAACTCTGTTGCTTGCCTATTCAATTCAGTAGTTCTCCCAGCGCTCTTTTATGCAGCAAAAACGTGGAGTGATACTACAACAACGTCAGGAAATCTGCGCACTACTCACAGGGCACTCGAGCGAGGTCTTCCGTATGCTGATCGGTTTTCTCAACGTCTAGTCGCTTTGGGCAGCACAGATCCTCGAAAACTATCTCATCTTCGAGATCCAAAACATATATATCGATAGAGTTACACAGATGGGCCGGTCGTCAGATAAGAAGAACAGATGACAGATGAACGAAGGACGACGACTGCATAGTAAACTCTAATGAAGTGCAAACGCTTTCTTGGAAGACACTCAAACCACAGGCCGACGGGTTTGTCGCTAATGTCAAGCATCTGCATCAGTAGATGGTAACGAACTTTAGAAGACGGTATGGATTCTGCATACGTCACCATGCCTGAGACAGACCATCACCATCACAACAGCTGCGCCAAAGAGAAACGAGTCGAAACTATGCTGGGGCTCGCATTATCAGTGAAGACGAGCCATCCAAGTATACAAGGAAGTTACCACTGAAGAACACCATGCTGCCACCTCTATTCAAAAAGTCGTAGAGAGTACTTTTCTGTTTGGTAGCACAGATTTCCAAGCCTATCCCTACGGTGGGCAAGAAGTTTTCATAAAGAGTGTTAATAGTTATTCGAAAGCATAAATTTCGAGCTAGGGGTACGTGGCCGGTCTTTTGGGCAAACCCTTCTTTAATGCTAAAAATTCAAAATAAAATTATGTTTCACACGCTCATGTTCCTCGCAGTTCAAAGCTCTTTCTTTACACTATTGTGATCATTCAATAGCGTAAAATTTTCCGATTCCAACGCTTTGCTTATAACCTGAAAAGAATATTTCTCTGCAATGCAGCAGGAGAAATGAGATTGATTCAAATACGTGAGAAAGTCTTCAGATCAAACATCTGACTCCAATACCAGTACCAGAAGATTCTCTCTACACATCCAGGTGCTCTCCGTGCATCGAGTGAAGTGATAGTTAGATTGCACGTTGGGTGTAAGACATGATTTTTTAAATATTTTCTCAGCGTTAGAAAAAGGTCTTCTCAGAAAACCGGCCACGTAAAGAGCTAGCTTGAGATTTAGACTTTCGAATAATTACTGACACTCTTTACGAAAGCTCCTTTCCAGCGTAAGGCATAGGCTTGAAATTCTGTGCCAAACGGAAAAAAACTCCAAAGAGCTTTTACATCACAGGTTAAAAAGCGATATGTTCATAAGAGATTCCAAACCATAATCGTGGAGCGATCAAAAATAATCGGTTCTGGCCAACTAGGGTTGCTGAGCTTGTTGTGTAGTGTTCATCACCTTTGCTTCATACACAAAAGCTCATCGGTTCGATCCCATGCAGCAACTGCTTTCGTTTTTCCGTTGAACAAAGTACCATAGAAACTTTCATAGCAAAAATTGCATCGTTTTGACATCAGGTCAGACTGCAACATTTCTCCTAGAGACTTCAGGGTGAGACCGTGCAGCGAAGCAAGTATAGCAGAAACTGGAGATTTATGACCTCCAGCGATCACACTGTAGTCGAGGTCATGTGGTGTAGTGGTTATCACGTCTGCTTTACACGCAGAAGGTCGCCGGTTCCATCCCGGCCAGGACCTGTCTTTTGCAGTGCTTATTGGGAAACAGGGACTGGAAACTCTATTCGTGGTTTTGCGACTTTTACATGAGAGGTCGAGGCTCAACTTATCCATCAGGCTGGAACAATGCAAGTAGAGTGACATTTAAAACGTCTACTGTGTTCCTGTGGTGCAATGGTTAGTGCGTCTGTTTCAAACAATATAATTTACTGCTCGTCCCACCTGAAGATCTGGATCGGTACTTTTGAATGAAGAAAACACCAAGGAAATTACCACTCACAAAGGGGACTGAATCGAAAAGGCAAGCACCAGAGTTTGTGGTGCGTTATCTGGTCTATGGTTCTTTTTTCTGAGAAGCACGAAGGCGGCCCAAACTACTCTACTTCTCCATCCTTCATGTTGCTTCCAAAGTTTACTGAACGTCTAAGGTACACGTGCAAGGTGCCTCCGTAATCAGAGAGCCATCTAGTTCAGTCTATTCGTCTCTGCAGTCTGGATTATCCATGAACTAGATCTTTATCGTGTTCAATGCGTAACCCAAACTTGAAACCACTTTTGTTTTTCAGTGCTACTCTCCTGAAAGATGACCATATTACCTAAAAATAGAAGGCTTATTAGAAATTTTCCATCAACAAGTATGCCTCTACTCGTCGTAGTCGAGTGATTCAAAGCTAGTCAGTGAAGGTCACAACAAGGGACATCTGGCATCCCCGACTGATTACTATGATCCGTGACACGGTTACGACATGGTCCATGCAGCAGCGACCCCTTAGGGATCCTGTTTGCACAGCTGGCTGCGCCTCATCCAAATCCTTCCATGTGCGCAAAAGATGATTTTCGTTGATAGCTTGTAGGAACACTCAGCAAACATATTGGGCGGTAGTTACGAAAATCCCTTCTGTCACGTTCCTTAGTTGGGATAACTGTGTGCGAAGTCCTCCAGTGGTATTTCTTTCTGAAGGTCTGATGTCAGATGTCTTGCTACAAATACATGCAAATGGTGGCCATCATTTCTGAGGAAGTAATTATGACGAACAAATATAGATATAATAGCAATACAGGTATAAATCGGGTCCTGCAACTGTGCCTCTCTACATGCTTTCAATCGCAACTTGAACATTAGAAGCTAAATTCTTAGGTGGTTTCACACCAATGGGATTTTCATTTCCAGTTATGAATTACATATCATGGCGGGTTGTAGTCTCATTTTCATTCATCAGGAAGAGGTATGCAGAGATTGGTGACTGCGGTTCTTCATATTTGATCTTTTTGAAGCTGCCTGTAATAACGCTCTTTTCTTACTGATGTGAATCCTCTTGCAAAATTCTTCTACAATCGCCTTTTCTTATCAGCCAAGATGTGTCTGTGTTGCGGAAGGTTCAGGTCTCAGTTTCTTTCTTTTTCAAGCAAATCTCAAGTAGCAACTCTACTGAGTAGATGCGATCAGAACCTCTAGTTTTGAATCTATTGGCGAGGAACTCTTAGTCTTCGGTCGGGTCTTCTTCTATCTGCCGGGTATCTGAGGAGAATATTTTAATGAGGACATTCTAGTCGTACACGAAATGATTTACTTTCAAGCAATGACAGCCCTTTTTTTCGAGCTTATGGTTGAATCAGATCTTTGCTCGTAAAGGCGCTGATCAGATCCTATACAAACTCCAGAGACCATTGAGGTGTCAAAGAGGCACCAACCCATTTGCAAGTTTATGATCGATCTCCGCTTGAGTCGTGCTTTTGAAAGATTCCATGTCCATCAGTGGCTTTTTGTTGTCTTGAAAGATGAGTTCCCATGAAAGAGACGAGCCACGATAGGATTCCTACAAGACTGTCACCATTCTCGTTTGCTTCTTCCATTCCAAATTTTCCTATCCTACACTCGTTTTTACTGACCGTTCCTGACCTGACACTGAAGTCTCGAACAGCGATTGCTAAAAAGGACTTTCTGCGGCTGAAAACTTCTTCCAACTTCTTGTACGCGTATAATATACTTTCATCGAGTGTACAAGTTGGTGAGGAGCAGTAGAAGATACTGATTTTTTTGTCACGGAAGTTGAATGTGAAGGATATCCAAGCGCTGTGGTAAAACTCTGCACGAAATGACTACATGTCAGAAATGGTGGTTATCGAGAAACGCGGCGCCTTCGACGTTTCGTAACGGATAATTGGCTCCACGATTAATGAGAGATTCGTCATCTAATTATCGCAACCGATGCTCCTGCTTTTCGTTTCTTTCAGGGCTATTCCATAGATTTTGATGTAACCAGTAGCCTCAAAAAGGACGTATAGGTCTGCGTTTAAGGAGACTGTCCTACTATTATAAATGCAAAGCAAGAGTACTCTCCGTAGCCTGTTGCAGACTTGTTCGTTTTGCTCTTTTCCGATGAGGTCCCATTGAACCCGAGATTTGATTGGTTATCATCGGTCAACTCACCTCCTGAGGTCGTAGACGAGAGCACCCAGTTTGTTGAACAGCGAAGCAGAAGTTTTGCTGTTTCACTTGCTTGTGTTCCCTGGACTTTAGGTCATCCTAACCGGAGCCTTCTTCAAGTTGTCACCACACAAGTCAGTCGCCGGGGCCTGTGAATCAGAGAGAGAATAATACCACCTTGCGACAAGTTGGCACCAAATCGGCAGTGATTTCTCATTTGTTTACAGCTGGGCTTTCCAGATGGAAATATCGGACTGATTCTCGGCTTGGATGGCTCTCCCGGTAGATAAATCCCTCACTGCGCTTTACAGTCAGAAAACAACGAACACCCTCCGCCAACGATGATGCGATAAGCCATTGGGAAGGCCTCTTCAATAATGCCCCAATGAACGGTGACTTGCCAGAAGCGGTGATTTTTGAACTGCTACTCTATCTTCTTCACTGTGCGGTTCCAAAGTCTCTGTTACAAATGTCGAAATCTGACTTACAATGTAAAAACGTTTTAATTTCTGCTATAGAAGCTTTCATGGCAGTGAGAGCAAAATAGGTCCTGGCCGGGATCGAACCGGCGACCTTCTGCGTGTGAAGCAGACGTGATAACCACTACACCACAGAACCTCAGCTGACAGTGTTCTGTCAGAAGCGATGATTTTTAAACAGCCACCCATAACCACTGTTCGACGATTCTAGTTCGGAGTCTGTGGTGAATATGTCGAGCTTCGACATCAGATGTGAAAGCTTACCAATTTTCAAAGAGAGGTTGTGATATAGCCTTCTTCAGTTCTTAACCGATCGTCTCGCGCGAACCCAAAATGGGCATTTCCGCCAGCGTGGGGAACGACTCCACCTCCTCTGCCTCGATTGCTCACCGACCAGAGTACTACTTTCCTTTGCAAGACGAGCAGCTAAGTTTTGGACTGATTCGCGTGCGGTCTTGCAGCGAAAAGTAGTAGTGTAGGGCTGCTAATCGAAGCAAAGAAGGTTCATCTTTCTCGGACACGCCCAGTTAGGGTCCGCTAAAATCGCCCGGTTGTACTATGGCCTTGATATGTCAGGCGGCGCCTCGTTAAACTTTAACGCAGCAGTCGGGGCTCGTTATCATCGCAGTATTGTAGTTTCACTATGATATTCAGACTTATCGCTACTAAAGGCGGTTACGTAACCACTAAAAACGAGAATATCGCTAAAGAGCATTCAATAGGCTATTCGTAGTAGGAACAATGCCAACAAAAATCATAAACCAGTAGTTTATCTGTTGCAATATACTACACAATGCGTTCGATGCCTTTTAATGTATAGCTCCCTATAAGTTTTGGTCAGTACCTTTCTGTCGACATTTTGGAGACCTCGCTTAATAATTAGATATAGTATGAAAATGTTTTGAGCTTTTCATTAGGTCTGCTATGGCACCTCTAGTGCTAGACGTACGTTTCAGCTTTCGTCTACGTCTAGCAATAGAGGTCATATCAGACCTCACGAAAGGTTTAGAATAATCTGTCAAATTATGTCGAATTTCCGACCACGAATACAGTTGGGGACGCCGTGGCCGAGTGACGGTGATGCTCGTCTGGTGCGCGTGAAACCGAGCTCTCCCCCATCCCCCCCCCCCCCCCCCCCCCCAACTCTCTTCGGCAGTCAACAGCAACACTTTATGGAACGCTACAGCCACGCTTTCCTTGAGATTGGAAGGAGACTCACTCAACCTAAATTCTACGACGTTCAAGATAAAGACGAAACAGCAAATTCAATGCTAGAGGTGCTGAGATCCGCACAGCAAAAAAAAAAGCGCTACAAGGACGGACCAATAAAGCAAAAAAAATACAATCGAGTTTTTCTATAGTGTTGTATAAGAGACTTTGCTAGATTGTCTAATGGGAGTTTATTCCTCATATATCCATTTATGCTTTAATGTCAACTTTTTTGTACTGTGACATGTATTGCCTTTTATGCTCACCACTAGCTGCACATGGTCTACTTAGTTCTTTTTAGTTCATTATGCCCTTGGGATGATTTTTTGTATCTCGTTTGGCTTCTACTCTTCAAATAGCTCAAAATGCAAACATTTGTAGATCGTTGCGGCCACGTATCAGTACATGAAAGATTAAATCCGTTACCCGCTTCTGATGGATATCAATCTCCACAACTACGTGAGCAAGTTCTCTTTTGCATAATGACGAACCTAATAATACCATAAAAAACATTGAACTCATCTCAGATGCTCGTTCTTTTATAGTGAGTCAAGCGGTGGAGAATATAGTTTGGAAGATGAAAGATAACTGGTGAGTACTCAAAGCAGTCGCTCAGAACCCTATCCTTTGAGAAGAGATTAGAAGGGGTTCGTTCTTGTGGACGTAATGCTAACAAAGAGTCAGCCTACTGCTACGAAGTGACTATATTGGAATGAAAGTTCTGGAACACTTCAATAAGCATGAGATAACTCCCATGCATATTATGGGAATAGTACAGTTTCCTACGTAAGGTTTTCCTTTTTGAAAGCCTAGATATTACTCGTCTTCATCTTCACTTTGTCACAACCTCCGCCATGTCCAGTCTACGACAAGCCAAAGGAAAAGTACTAGGCTTTGGGCAACCGGAAGCGCGTTTTGCTACAGCAAGAAAATTCCAGACCACAAAGTGCCAAGAAACCGATGGTTAATAAACTGTACGGAGTCGCGGTTCTGCCGCATCCCGTCTACGGTCCAGACTGCACTCCATTCGACTATAGACTTCCGACCCGAATGTAGCACTTTTTTAAGGATCGCCGATTTGAATCATTTAGTAAAGTTGAAGAAGCACGTAAGAGTTCTTTGATTCAGAGTCGGAGCAATGATACTTCGACCCGATTCAAAACTTGGCGGACCGATGGCAGAAAGTTGTGAAAAAAGATACTTTTCAATCTGAAGAATAGTTGTTTTGATGGTAAGGTACATTATGAGCCTATGTGATCTCCTTCCGGTGGTCTCTACTCGAGTCATTCAGTGGAATACATATAAAAAGCGGTGAGTATGTTGAGAGTTGATTTTGCGGTTGATGCGATTAAAATTTAGGTCTGGTGATTTTTTTCTAAAGGTGTATACGAAGCGTTTGACTGATTGGATTGCAGACAATTTGACCTTTCCAGGCTCTGAAGAAGGCGAACTGCCGAAACGTCAGCTGTTGAATGAAGAATACTATAACACCTCATGTTTGTCTCAAGAAGGAAATTAGGAATTATTGAAGCATGCAGAAGTTAATAGAAAGTCGACTCGGGAATTGAATAGCTTTTACTGTTCTTGCTGGAAATTCATGTATAAATGTTCAACTTTTTGCAAGTGCCCCAAAACTTTCTTTCCAAGCCAACATTTGTGACCGATTTACTCTACTGTTACATCCAACATTGGTGCACGCAGGTGTAAACACATTCTTAGACCAATTCTTTGCAGACCACCGCAGAGCTGCTAATCAAATAAACTGTGTGAAGAAGTATGCCTAAATAAAATTTTGAATGAAAGGTTTCGAACGTCACAAAAATGCGACATTAGACTGAGGACTTTCTCAGAAGACGTAATCCACATTTTTTTACTATTCGATTACTCGACGTTTACATTTTCCAAGGTGCACCTTCGGAAAGTGGTTGTCTGAGTAAACTGCGATTCATTTTGACCTTCCCAGGTTCTAAAGAGAGCAAGACGCTCACAACTCCGTCTAAAATTGCACTGTGTTGTGCTCAATCTCATCAAGAGAACGTTGCTGAAAAGATAATCGGTGAGTGTCAAAGATGCCGCCACTCATAATCTCACCATACTCTTTGATCACGACAAAAAATGTTCAAGGCGACGTAATGCTCAGATTACTTAAAAAAATCAACTTCTCCGAACTGTACGTGCTCGATGTTTGAGAGTTGATTATAGGCAAATATGCGTAGCGTTGAGAAGAATGATGAATGAGAGAAAACGCTCTCCTTTCATTGAATAGGCGGCAAGAATGTGCAAAATCGGTAATATCGTCAATTCTCAAGAATGACGTTTTCCTATGAATTAATATGGTTTGCTAAGACTCAGAAACGTTTTTCTCACTGAAAATACCTATTGAAATCTTCTTAATAAAATATCATCCTTTCATGACGAAGAAGTACTCTAATTATATGAACCTTGCTATATAACTGTCATCAAAACCATTCAGAACTTCATAAAGTGGGCTTAAGTAGCTAGAAGTCGACGCTTACCTACCCTTCGTTGCTATTGCGCCCTGAGAAGGCATTTCCAGAAACTAAAACTGGCACTGTAATCTCAGCCTATCCAATTACTACCAAAAGTCTAGTAACTGTGGATAGTCAGAAGTACAAATTCTATGCAACAAGAATATTCGGCACAAAGATGGTGAACACCACTTTTTTTTAGACCAAATATAGTGGCGATTGCATGGTTTTGGTATCGTTCAACTGCCCATTTCCTAGCAAACATTTTGATATGCAACTTGGCTGTACTTCCTTGGAAATGGAGCCGTCTCGGAAAAAAAATTCACTTGCTACTCATGCAAGAAAGAATTGAGCTGGTGGCGATGATACGGTTGCAGAAACGACGGCTTGAAAGTGATTTACGAGATTCAGAGCTGGAGAGGACAGTCTGGAGGATCAGTCTAGCTCGGGCCGCCCTTAGGAAGTACCACTTATGTTGAGCAGCGTTTCACTAGCATTTTCCCCTTACGCGTCATTCGTGCTCAGTACCAGGAAAATTCGTTCTCTAGATAGCTTCATCTTAAATCATCCATATGCAAGTTGTGTACGAAAATCTATGCCAGAGAATGCGCAGTTGATCGGTGCCAAAATCATGCCATTTCTAATTCCTTCTTCATAAATTTGGTGTTTATTGCCCCAATGCCAGCACTCATGACACGATCTAATAATTCGCTGCTGAGCGATAGTGATTTTACTGGCTGTTGATTGCTGAATGAATGCTGAGCAAGAGAAATGATGGGTACGAGTCAAAGAAAGCATCTCTTCGCTGGCATTTAGCCCTCGAATTGATAAATGTGAATACTATTGTGGTTTCCCCTGGATACATCCCAAACACTTCCTCGTATAGGTTCCTTTTAAAGGCTACACATTGTAGAATGATAATTATTTTTTTGAGCCAACATGTCGTGTGATCTTTTATGGGCATTCATAGAGAACAATACACGTGTTTTGGCCTTGACAGCCTCGTCAGTTAGGCAGTACCCTTCGTCGTAGCCAGTCCTCTCGTGGGTATATACCCCTTAATAGAGTAGGCAACGACGTACAATTCACACGTGCTGTCAAGTGTAATAAATCACTAGATCGGTAGTGTTGCACATTCGATTACTCATAACAGAATGTGTGTACTTGGGGTACATTGTTATGAGACATGCAATACAAATGTAGACTGAGGGTGGAAGGCATGCTCTACTCCCAGGGATGTATCTTATGCATTCAAAAGTGAGGATTTTTGGGACACGTTGGCATTCCTTATGCTAAGAGTACGTCTCTTCGGTAAATATCCATGATTTCGTAGAGATGAGATTTTTTTAGAATCAAAATCACTAAGGGGAAAGTAAATTCGGGGTCAAGTTCAGACAACGGGCAGTCTAGTCTAAAGGCTAAACTAATCTCCTTTTAAGTTGTCGGAGAGTATAATGAAGGCCTTCTCGGAATCAAATTGTGTGTCAACATCTGCGTCTCTCAAGCCCTCGAATGATTACAAAAACATGAGTAAAATTAGCGAAAAAATTTCAACAAAAGTTTGGAACATATAATTTTTTTGCGAGGATATGGTTTCCTGGTTCAAACATCGTCTTTTTTAGGACGCATGGGTCCTGCTTTTATAGAAGAAAAAGGCTTATAAACATCTTTTCAACGATATTTCATCATATAGTAATGCCTCCGATATTTGGTGTAAAAACATCTAAATTCTCGAATAGAGGTTTCAGTACAGTTTTCCTAAATTGGCACTGCAAGACCACACCCTGGCCGTGATCGAACCGTCGGCCTTCTGCGTGTGAAGCAAACGTGATAACCACTACATCACATAGCCCCAACATGTAGCGGTCTACAGAAAACAATGATTTTTGAGTTTCGTCCCGGAGCCGCATTTTGCAATCTGACCAGCAATGTAAAAACCTAATTAAGCTATGAAGATTCTCGTGACAGTTTGTTCAGTGAACAGTGCAAAGAAGGCCGTGGTCGGGAGTGAAGCGGAGACCTTTTTCGTGTGAAGTAGACATGATAAACACACATCACAGGACCACATTAATAATTTTTTCGCTAGAAGCATGTATGCTTGAGTGCCCATCTTCCACGCTCCATGATTATGGTTTGAAATCTTTAGTGATTATCTTGACTTTGACACAACGTAATGTTATCATTATGCCTAAGAATTAATTGCATTTTTCACATTGTTATTGATGTTTTATACATACCTAAGAGAACTGAGTGGTGAGCAAAAACACGACCTCGGACGGGAGTCGAACCCGCGTTTCACATACCGGAAACGCGCTACCACCATACCACAAATTCATCGTTTCACCACCACTCATTCTCCAGTGTCTCTACTATTGCTATCACGCACCAATCTATAACAAGTCTGTCGGGTAAGCAGTATCGCATTATAAACCCAGTTAAGGTGATAGCCATTGTGATATGTATTGCTCATGATTCCTAATGGTTTTATGGGGTATGTATGGGTGAAGCGTGGGTTCAACTCTCACATGAGGTAAAATTTTTGCTCACCACTCAATTCTCTTAGATTCAATGGAAACATCATACGACTGCGAAAAATGAGTAGAAACATTAGAAATCATGAGTAATGATGCTCAGTGCGTTATTGCAGGCCTTCTTCGCTGTTTGTTTAGTCTCCAGGACTCATTCAATAGCGCAACTCCTGGTGGTTTCAAGGATGTGCTTGCTCCCTGAAGAGGGTCTTTTACTGCATGTAGCGGCGTAAATAAAGTTGAGTTTCGCCCTCGGCCCGAAGTTTTTTGCACGGCTGGATGTGTGAATGGGCGTGTAGACGGAATTTCGTACCAATCGCAACAAACAACACCGAAGTAGTCGTAGTTCTAAACTGGTCCATTGACAAAGTTCAGTATTACACCGTTCGTTTCGAGTGTTTTCTTGAGACCATGCTCAAATTTCAATTTATTACATAACAATTATTTCAGTCAACATGTAATGAGGTTTGTTAATGGGCTCTTGTGCAGCCCGATAGACGTGTCTTGCCTCGAGCAGCCTTGTCAGTCGAGCAGAACCCTTTGTCTTTAGCCAGTCCTTATGGTGTGCTGCAGTCTCCGACTCAGGGTAGGCGACGACGAACGATTTACACAACTGCCATCAAGTGAAAATCACTAGGTCGGCAGTGTTGAACACTCGATTGTTCTTGCTTGTTAATTTGAAATATTACACCGTTCGTTTCGAGTGTTTTCATCAGACCACGCTGAAATTTCAATATATCTCCCGATTGACGAGGCTGCTCAAGGCTGAAAGACGTGTATCGGGTTGTACAAGTGCCTATTAACAGACCACAAGGCGTTTTGGCTCAAATATTAATTATGACGTATATTGAAAGTTTCAGTAACTAATTGACATCATAGATCTAGGTAATTTTGGAGCTAAATCTGATTTTTCAAAAAGTTCTTCGTAGAGTGCTGGAAGAGCGAAAAAAACTACGTTGCGCACTCCTTGACTTAGGCTTTATAGCGAGCTAATTTGGCAGTATAAAATAAAAATAAAAAGTCTAAGCTAGGAGAACGGTAAGACAAATAATGCGTGGTGAAGTTGAGAGGTAAGTTTCTTCTGGCTGTTACATTTTCCTGAATTTTCGAATAGAGGTTGTAGGATAGTTTTCCCAATGAGCACTGCCTACCAGATCCTTACCGGGATCAAACCGGCGACCTTCTGTGCGTTGAGCAGACGTCACAACCACTACACCACAAAACCCTAACGAGCATTGGTTCGTCAAGAGCGGTGATTTGTGCTGCCGCTATACTTCCACCGCTTTACGGTTTTGCTCAACGTCCTTGAGGCAAAAGTCGAAATCTGACCTATGTGTCAAAATCTTCACTGTAAAGACTTTCATAGCAGTTTCTTCAGGGAAAAGAGCAAAAGGTAGGTCCTGGCTGGGATCGAACCAGCGGCATTCTGCGTGTAAAGCAGACCTGATCACCACTACACCACAGAACCCCAACCGCTATTGTTTCATTAAGATCGGTGATTTTCCAGTTGCTGCTAAACTTGCATCGCTTTACTTTTCGTTAAAACTTTTATTCAAAATTTTAGAAGGCTGTAGCAGTCAAAAAAGTCACCTTTCATGTTCGACGCCTACTATCGAGCGTCTAATAATCGTGCCGCGCGCGGCGACTTCAAGAGCGAGGATTTCGTTATTTAATTCGGAATTTTTTCTCCGTTCAAAGAAATTTCTAAATGTTTTATTTTAGAATTGCAAAAAGATCATCAAATAATGGAAGTGCAGTGGCTAACTAAGTAATCAACGGTGTTGCCAAGACCTTCAACGGTCTCCTGTGGTGTAGTGGTTATCACGTCTGCTTCACACGCAGAAGGTCGCCAGTTCGATCCCGGCCAGGACCTTGTTTTGCTATCTTCGTGAACAAACCTCCATGGAACTTTTTATACCAAAATAAGAACGTCTCCACGCTACAAATCAGATTTCGACATCAACAGCGGAGACTTTGAAGCGATATTGTAGAACGATGGAAAAAAAGTAAATCATGAACACAAGAATGACTGATTTTGACGAAACACCGATTATGGCGATACCATGATGTAATGGTTATTATCTTCTGTTTGACATGCTAAAGATCGTCGGTTCCATCCCGGCACGAGGCCATGGTTTGGCAGTGTTCATTGAACAAACTGCCGTGATAACTTCGTGCTCTCCCGTTACCTCAAGACAATTTTTCATCTTTCAAAAACAGGGTCTTTTGCGCATTTTTTGGAGGATTTCAGTGGTCATTCGACAGTCCAAATCTCAGTAATCCAAACACTGCGCTTTTGTCTCAAAATTGCCCTTTTATGCGTTGTAGCAGCGAAAATGACGTCAAATTTCACACGCGAAGCGTTTTGCGCTGGACACTGCTTTTCTCTTGAACATTTAGGAATCTATCAATAGCCCGAACTTCGGCGATTTTGAAAGGGTGTTTGATTTCTGGACAGGCCTTGCTGTTGCGCTGTAGCAGCCAGATAAATTTTATCTTTCACATCCGGCCAGCATTATCGCGCATCTCTTGAATGCACTGCGCGCGGAGATCTCAAAACCGCCCCGGAAGGAGCGGTCTTCGTAATTTGTTTCAAAATTTTTCTCTGCTTCAAAGAAAGTTGCGAGATTTTCATATCAGAATTGAAGGTAAATCATGGAGGAGTAGAAATATAGCTGCGACTAAAAATTCAAAAAAAAACTTGGAGAAAGAATTTCGAATTGAAGAGCGTGAATACGCTCGACTTTGCGCGGCAAGGTGAATCTTGATCTGATTTTTGCTGCTAAAGCACGCCAAGGAGGTTCTTTTAGAAATCAAGCATAGTGTCGGAGACCGTTAGAAAACAAGCACAGTGTTGGATTCGCCGAAAATTAAGCTATCTAATGATCTCTGGAAGTTCGTGAAAAAAGCTAAGATAACCTTTTTCCCAAGGAGTCCGAAAAGGCATTGCCATAATCGACTTGTAGCAAACTTTTCAAATTTCCGATTAGAGGTTGCCGTATATTATTCCTTAGTAAGCAGTGCAAAACCAGGTTCGCCTCCTGGATCAAATTGACGATCCTCTCCGCGTAAAACAAACGTGATAATCACTTCACCAAGGGTCCCCAACGTACGGCGGATCGCATGAAGTGGTGATTTTGTTGAATTGCTACCGTACTTCCATCGCTCTGCGGTTTCTCTCCAAACTCCCTGGTGCGATCGTCGGAATTCAACCTGTAATGTAAAAATGTTCTAATCATGGTACGAAAGTTTTTAAGTCCTTTTATTCAATGAACAGAGCAGAACTAGGTCCTGGCCGAGATCGAATCGGTGACCTTTTATAAGGAGATTTGTAACCTCTACACCATAAAACCGCCATGCCTAGTGTTTCGCCAAAAGGCATTATTTTTGAGTTTTTGCTATACAAGCACCGTTTCACAGTTTTGCTTCAAAGTCTCCGAGGCAAATATGAAAATTTGACCCGCAATGTGAAAACGTTCTGATTTTTTTGCATTAAGGTCCTGGCCGGGATCGAACCGGCGACCTTCTGCGTGTGAAGCAGACGTGATAACCACTACACCACAGGACCTCATCAGACAGTGCTCCGTCAGAAGCGATGACTTTTGAACAGCCGCCTATATCCACTGTTCGACGATTATAGTTTGAAGTCTTTGCTGAATATGTTAAGTTTCAACTTCAAATGTGAAAGCTCACCAACTTTCGAATAGAGGTTATAGTATAGCCTTCTTCAGCTCTTATCCGGTTGACTCCCGCGAATCCAAAATGGGCATCTCCGCTAGCGTGGGAACGACTCCACCTCCTCTGACCCGATTGCTCGCCGACTAGAGTACTACTTTCCGTTGCAAGACGAGCAGCTAAGTTTTGGACCGCTTCGTGTGCGATCTTGCAGCGAAAAGTAGTAGTGTAGTCGGCGATTAATCGGAGCAAAGTAGGTTCAACGTTGGCGGACACGCCCAGCTAAAGTCCACTGAACTCAGCCGGTTAAAGTACGGTCTTAATATGTCAGCCGACCCTCGTTGAGCTTTAACGGTGCAGTCGGGGCTCGTTATCATCGCAATGTTGTAGTTTCACTATGATATTAAGACTTATCGCTACTAAAGGCGGTTTTGTAACCATGTGAATGAATAAATGAATGGCGCTAAAGAGTATTCAATAAGGTCATTCGTAGTAGGAACAATGCCAACAAAAATCATAAACCAGTAGTTTGTCTTTGAAGTATAATTCACAATGCGTTCTATGTCTCTTAATATTTAGCTCCCTATGAATTTTGGACAGTTCCTTTCAATCGACCTTTTGGAGACCTCGCTCAACAATTCGATATAGTGTGATAGAATGTATTGAACCTTACGTAAGGTCTGCAATGGCACCTCTATTGGTAGACGTACGTTTCGGCTTTCGTCTACGTCTACCGACAGAGGTGCCATTTCGACTTCAAGAAAGGCTTAGAGTAATCTATGAAATTATGTCGAATTTTCGAGCAATAATACAGTTGGGGGATGCCGTGGCCGAGTAGTTCTGATGCTCGTCGTAGCGCGCGTGGAGCCGCGCTCCAACCCCCTTCCCCTCCCACCCTCCCCCACCCAGCTCTCTCTAGACGCCTTATGGAACGGTACAGCCACGCTTTCCTCGAGATTGCAAGGAGACTCTCTCAACCTAATTTTCTACGACATTCAAGATAAAGACGAAACAACGAATTCAATGCTAGAGGTGCTGAGATCCGCACTAGCAAAATAAAACAAAAAAAGGCAAAAAATACAGTTGAGAAGTTTTTCTACGTGCTGTATAAGAGACTTTGCTATATGGTCTAATGGGTATTAATTTCTTATATGTCCATTTATGCTTCAGTGTAAAATTTTTGTACCGTAACATTTGTTGTCTTTTATGCTCATCAGTTGCACATAGTCTACTTAGTTCTTTTTAGTTCATTATGGCCTTGGGATGCTTTTTTGTACCTCGTTTAGCTTCTACTCTTCAAATAACTCAAGATGCGAACATTTGTGGTTCGTTGATGTCACGTATCAGTACATGAAAGACTAAATCCGTTACCCGCTTCTCATAGACATCAACCTCCACAACTATGTGAGCAAGTTCTCTTCTGCATAATGACGAATCGAATATTGCCATGAAAAACACCGGACTCATCTCAAATGCTCGTTCTTCTAGAGTGAGTCAAGCGATGGAGAATGTAGTTTGGAAGATGAGGATAATTGGTGGGGGCTCAAGGCAGTCGCTTAAAACCCTACCCTTTGAGGAGAAACTAGAAGAAGTTCGTTATGGGAGCATAATGCTCACGTACAAAGAGTCAACCTACTGCTACGAAGTGCCTATATCGAAATGAAAGTACTGGGACACTCTAGTAAGCATGAGATAACTCCGATGCATATTATGGGAATAGTACAGTTTCTTACGTAGGTTTTTCCATTTTTAAGGCCTAGATATTACTCGTCTTTATCTTCACTTTGTCACAAGCTTCCGCCAAGTCCAGTCTACGACAAGCCAAAAAAGAAAGTACTTGGCCTTGGGCAACGGGAAGCGCGCTTTGATGCAGCAAGACAATGCCAGACCACACAGTGCTAAAAAGACCAAAGTTTAATGAACTGGGCGGAGTCGAGGTTTTGCCGCATCCCGCCTATGGTCCAGATTGCCCTTCATCCGGCTATAGCCTTTTCCGATCCGAACGTAACACCTTTGAAGGATCGCCGATCTGAATCATTCAATGAATTGAAGAAGCATGTCAGAGTTCTTTGATTTGAACTCGAAGGAATGGTACATCGACCAGATTCAAAACTTGGCGGACCGATGGCAGAAGGTCCTGAAAAAAGATGGTCATTATTCTAGAGAATAGTTGTTTGATAGGTTGGACGTATTAGAGACCTATATATATCCTTACGGTAATCTCCAAAAAGATTCATTCATTGGAACACATATAAAAAGCGGTGAGTATGTTGAGAGTTGATCTTGTGCTTGATGCGATCGAAATCTAGATCTGGTAATTTTTTCTAAAGGAGTAATGGAGGTGCTTGACTGATTGGGTTGTACATAACTTGACTTTTCCAGGCTCTGAAGAACGCGAACTGCCGAAACTTTAGCTGTTGAATAAAAGATACTATAACATCTCGAGTCTGACTTAAGAAGAAAATTAGGAATTATTGAAGCATGCCGAGGTTAATGAATAGTCGGTTTCAGGAATTGAATAGTTTTTATCGTTCTTGTTGGAAATTCATGCATAAATGTTCAACTTTATACAAGTACCCCAACACTTTCTTTCCAAGCCAATACTTGTGACCGATTTTACTCTAGTATTACATCCAACATTGATGTACGCAGGTGTAAACACATTCTCGGATCTATTTTCTGCAGACTATTGCAGAGCTGCTAATCGAACAAATTGTGTGAAGAAATATGCTTAGGTAAAATTTTGAATTAAAAGCTTCGAACGTCACAAAATATGACAATAGACTGTGCACTTTCTCAAAGACATAATCCACACTTTTTACTATTCGATTACTTGACGCTCCAAGTTTTCCAAGATGCACCTTCGGAAAGTGGTCGACTGAGTGAACCGCGATTCATTTTGACCTTCCCAGGCTCCGAAGAGAGCAAAACCTCCCTAATCCCAGCCAGCATTGTACAGTATTGGGATCGATCTCATCAAGAGAACGTTGCTGAAAGGATAATCGGTGAGTGTCGAAGATGCCGTCACCCATAATCTTACCATACTCTTTGATCTCGAGTAAATATGTTCAAGGCGACGTAGTGCTCAGACTAAGGAAACAAATCAACTTCTCCGAACTGTACATGCTCGATGTTTGGGAGTTGATTAGAAGCAATTATGTCTAGCGTTCGCAAGAATGATGAATGAGAGAAAGCGTTCTCCTTTCATCAAATAGGCGGCAAGAATGTGTAAAGCCGGAGATATATTCAACCCTTGAGGATGACGTTTTCCTACGAAATAATATAGTTTGTTAAGATTCAGAAGCGTTTTTCTTACTGAAAATACCCATTGAAATCTGCTTGATATGTTATCCTTTCATGACGAAGAAGTGCTCCTATTATAAGAACCTTGCTATACAACTGTCAACAAAACCCGCTCTGAGCTTGAAACAGTGGGCTTAAGTAACTAGTAGTTGAGGCGTATCTACCCTTCGTTGGTACTGTGCCCTTAGAAGGCATTTCCAGAAACTAAACCTAGTACTATAATCACAGCCTATCCAGTGACCACCAGAAGTGTAATGACTGTAGATTGTCAGAAGTACGAATTCTATGCAACAAGGATAAGTTTTTGACCGAAGTAAAGATATTAGGTCGTACCATAAGTTTTGGCATCAAAACAATAAAAACCACTTTTCTTAACCAAATGTAGTTGAAATTGCATGGTTTTGGTATCGTTCAACTGCCCATTTCTAGCAAACATTTTGGTAAGCAACTTGGCTATAGTTGCTTCAAGATGGAGCTGTCTTGGAAAGAAATTTGCTTGCTACTCATGCACGAATGGCGCGTAGTGGAAAGTCTAGTGACGAGGCAAAAGATTTATGGAGCTTGGGGCGATGATAGGGTTGCAGATAAGGCTAGGAAGTTATTGACGAAATTTAAAGCTGGAGAGGACAGTGTGGAGGATCAGTCGAGTTCGGGCCGTCCTCAGGAAGCACCATTAATGTTTCACTAGCATTCTATCTTACGCGTCATTATCAGACAAATTCGTTCTTAAGGCAGCTCCATTCTAAATTATCCATATGAAAGTTGTATACGAAAATGTTTGCAAGAAAATGCGCAGTTGAACGATACCAAAACCATGCAATTTTAAGTACTTCTTGATAGATCTGGTGTTCAGTGCTCTAATGCCAGCACTTATGGAACCATCTAATAATTAGCTGCTGAGCGATGCTGATTGTACTAACTGCTGATTGCTGAACAAATATGCTGAAGAAAAGAAATGATGGGCCTGGGTTAGAAAAAGCATCTCTTCTATGGCATTCAGTCCTCGAATTGATAAATGCGAAAGCTATTGAGGCCTACTTTGGATACATGCCGAAATCTTCTTCGTATAAGTTCCTCTTAGAGGTTACATATTGTAGAATGATAATGATTTTCTGAGCCAGCATGTCGTGTGGCCTTTTATGGACATTTATAGAGCCCAATACACATTTATGGCCTTGACAGCCTCGTCAGTTGAGCAGTACCCTTCGTCGTGGCCAATCCTCTTGGAAGTCTGCATCCCCTTACATAGAGAAGACGACAACATACAAATTACACGTGCTGTCAAGTGTGATAAATCGCTAAATCAGCAGTGTTGTACATTCGATTGCTTATAATAAAATATATGTTCTTAAGGTACATTCTTATGAGACAGGCAATACAAATACAGATTGAGGGTGGAAGGCATGCTCTTTCCAGGGATGTAGCTATGGATTGAAAGGGAGAATTTCTGGGACACCTTGGCATTCTTTATGCTAAGAATACGTCTACTCGGTAAATATCCATGATTTCGTAGGGACGAAATTTTTTCTCTTGAATCAGCATCACTAAGGGCCAATAAATCCGCGGTCAAGTGCAGACAACGGACAGTTTCGTCTGGCATCGTTGATTTTCCAGTTGTTGCTAAACTTTAATCGCTTTAGTTTTCAGTATAATTACTGTTTTTCTTCTTTAAGCAAAACACGAGGTGTTATAATAAAATTTATTCACAGCTGACGTTTCGGCAGTTCGCCTTCTTCAGAGCCGCTTTTTATATGTGTACCACTGAATGATTCAAGTTTCTTTAGTTTTCGCTGAAACTTTTATTCGAAATTTCAGAAAGCTGTAGCAGTCAAAAGAAAATTACCTTTCATGTTCGGCGCCTATTATCGCTCGTCTGATAATCGTGCCGCGCGCGGCGACTTCAAAGCTGCCTCGAAAGGACGAAAGTTTCGATATTTATTCGGGAATTTTTTCTCCGTTTGTAGAAATTTCTAGATGTTTTATTTTTAGAAATGCAGAAAAGATCGTCAATCAATGGAAATATAGTGGCAATAAAAGAACCACCGGTGCTGCCGAGACTTTGATGTGGTGTCCTGTGGTGTCGTGGTTATCACGTCTGCTTCACACCGAGAAGGTCGCTGGTTCGATCCCGACGAGGACCTTCTTTTGCCCTCTTCAATAAGCAAGCCTCCATGGAACTATTTATACCAAAATAAGAACTTCTAACTACAAGTCAGATTTCGACATCAACAGCGGAGACTTCGAGGCGATATCGTGGAACCATGGCAGTAAATCAGGAACACAAGAATGACTGATTTTGACGAAACACCGATTATGGCGATACCGTGATGTAATGGTTATTATCTTCTGTTTGACATGCTGAAGATCGTCGGTTCCATTCCGGTAAGAGGCCATGGTTTGGCAGTGTTCATTGAACAAACTGCCGTGATCGCATGTTGTTTTCCTGTTACCTCGAGACAATTTTCCATCTTTCGAGAACGGGGTCTTTTAGACATTATTTGCAAGATTTTGGTGGTCATTCGACAGCCCAAATCTCAGCGATTCGAACACTGCGCTTTTGTCACGAAATTGCCATTCTAGTGTGTTGTAGGAGGTCAACTTTTACACTCGGAGCGCTTGCGCTGGACACAGCTTTTCTCTTAATCTTTTAGGAATCAATCAATAGCCCGAACTTCGGCGATTTTGAATTTCACCATCGGCAAGCATTATCGCACATTTCTCGAGTGCACTGCGCGCGGTGATCTCAAAACCGTCCCGGAATGGTGCGGACTTCGTAACTTATTTCAAACTTTTTCTCTGTTTCGTAGAAACTTACGGGATTTTTTATTAAAAGAAGCAAAATTATGAAGAGGTAGAAGTATAGCGCAGACTTAAAAATAAAAAAAACCTAAAAAGTTGACGAAGTGGATATAGAATTTCGAATTGAATAGCGTGAATATGAGCGACTATGCTCACCAAGATGAGACTTGATTTTATTTTCGCTGCTACAGCGCGCCCTTCTAGAAAAACAAGCACAGTTTTGGATTCGCCGAAAATTAGGCTATCTGATGGTCTCCAAAAGTTTGTGGAAAGAGCGAAGATAACCTTTTTCCCAAAGAGTTCGAAAACGCATTGCGATAATCGAATTGTAGCAAACTTTCTAGACTTTCGAATAGAGGCATATTATCCTTTTATATTACTGTTTCCCACATTATTTCTTAATGAGCACTGCAAAATCAGGTATGCCTCTTGGATCGAACCAACGACCCTCTCCGTAAAGCAGACGTGATAATCACTTCACCAACGGTCCCAACGTACGGCGGATCGCATGAAGTGGTGATTTTGAATCGCTACCGTACTTCTATCGCTCTGCTGTTTCCCTCCAAACTCCTCTGGTGCGGTCGTCGGAATCTACACCTCTAATGCAAGAACGGTCTAATCTTGCTAGGAAAGTTTCTGAGGCCTTATTTAATCAACAGAGCAGATCTAGGTCTTGGCAGAGTCGATTCGGCGACGTTCTATAGCTGATTTGTAACCACTACACCACAAAACCGCCATCACTATATTTCGCCAAAAGAAATTTCTCTTGAGTTTCTGCTATACTAGCACCGTTTCACAGTTTTGCTCCAAAGTCTCCGGAGCGAATATCAAAATGTGACCCACAATGTGAAAATGTTCTGAATCTTTGCACTTTTATGGCAGTTGTTCAATGAAGGAGACCAAAAGAAGGTCCTGGCCGGGATTGAACCTGCGACCTTCCGCGTGTGAAGCAGACGTGAACCACTACACCACAGGACCCCGACCGATAGCGAGTTGCCAAGACCTGTGATTCTGTAGTTGTCACTAACCTTTCCAATTCATTCAAAAAGCTTAGAAATTTCCAGAAAAGTCCACCATGAGAGACTTGAAACATTGTATCGAATTATGTTGAATTTTTACGCGAGGTCTCAAAAGTCGATTGGAAGGTATGACATTAAGGTGGCGTAACAGCCGTAAGCCAGTCGACAATCAATCACCCTGAAAGAACGCAACATCAAGTGATTCTTTCACTTTTCCTCCTCTCTTGATTCCTCCTAGACTCTTGCTAATGTTAGCAGAGGCGAGTCGAAGGGCACGTGGAGTACTTTAGGATTGTGAGGGAAGAAATGTATATTTGACCTCATTCGTTGTGCAAGAACTTTATGTAGAAGTGTTGCCAGCCATTCGAAAGCCTAAATATCTGGCTAGGGTCATTCATGACCGCTTTTCAAAGAGACCAGTTTTTAATGCTGTGCAGTTCAAAATAAAATTTCGTCTCACGTCTGCCCGCAATTCAACTATTTCTTAGCTGGGAATTACGACATGCAGGTGTAGCGAAAATCTTCTAGTACTAGGGTCAGATGTTTAATCTGGAATTTCGAAAAAAAATTGATAACTGAATAACAAAAATCGCACTTTCCTATGGCACTTGGAAGGGCCATTCAATAGATCGGCTGGTTGAAACGGTCCCATCCTCCCTGTGCCTCGCCTTTCCACCCCGTAGGATAGCCAAAGTCCCGTTGTCGCGTAAGTGATTTTGATCTTATTTTCCTGCTGGGCTGCAGAGAAACGGTCTTTCCTGAAAATAAGCTCAGGGCTGGAATCGTTAAATCTTACGCTATCGACTCATAACTAGAGTCTCAAAATATGCGCGTGTGAAACGTAATTTATTTTGAACTTTACAGCGTTGTAAGACGATCTTTTTGAAAATCGGCCATATGCTTCACTAGCCAGAGATTCAAGCTTCGACTGATTACTAACACTGCCATGAAAAATTCTCCTACAGCGAATGAGATCGAATACTTATCTGTTCTCTCATAACTGAAAAGTATTCGATTCTATTTCGTAAACCGACCTAAAAACTCCACAGAGAATAATCATCAGGGGATTTTTGCACAACAAAAAATGTACTATTTGTTGCTATGATATCTCCCTTGGCTGTTACCTTCCATTAGCGGATATCCTACCATAGCTGTGATCACAGTGTTATGAAGTTCTAATTTGTAAATGGAAATTCCCTTGGTGTTTTGTTCATTCACAAATACCCATCAAGATCTTTACGTGGGACGAACAGTAAATTACCATTGCGTGAAACAGGACGCACTAAACCATTGCACCACAGGACCTCTACGAGAGTGTGATCGTTGGAGGTGGTGATTTTCCAGTTTCTGCTATACTTCCTTAGCAGCACGGTCTCACCTCGAAGTCTCTAGGAGAAATATTGCAATCTGACCTGATGTCAAAACGATGGAATTTTTACGACGAAAGTTTTCATGGCACACTGTTCAACGGAGAGAAACGATAGTAGCTGTTGAATGGGAACTTGTGAAGCAATCGTGGTGAACTTTACACAACAAGCTCAGCAATCTTAGTTGGCCAGAACCGATTATTTTTGATTGCTCCACTATTATGGTTTGGAGTCTTTCATGAACATATCGGCACTTTAACCTCTTATGTAAGAGCTCTGTGAAATTTTTATCCGTTTGGTAGCACAGATTTTCAAGCATGGCCCTTACGCTGGAAACAAGCTTTCATAAAGAATGTTAGTGATTATTCGAAAGCGTAAATCTCGAGCTAGCGCTCTACTTGGCTGATTTCTTAAGAAGACCTTTTTCTAACGCCGAAAAATTTTTGAAAGTCATATTTCACACCTAACGCGCAATCTAACTGTTACTTTACCGGGGAGCACGAAAAGCATGGACGTGTAGAAAGAATCTCCTGGTGCGAGAAACGTGCGCGTGTGAAATACAACTTTATTTTGAATTTTTTCAGCATTATAAAAGGGTCTTCTCAAGAGACTGGCACGTACAGCCATTGCACGAGATTGAAGCTTCCGAATAATTGTTAATACTCTTTATGAAAACTTCTTGCCCAGCGTTGGGAATAGGCTTGAAAATCTGCGCTAGCAAACAGAAAAGTACTCTCTTCGAATTTTCGAACAGAGGTGGCAGCATTGATTTTCAATGGTGACTTCCTTGCATACTTGGATGGCCCGTCTTCACTGATAATGCGAGCCCCATCATAGTTTCGATTCGTTTTTTGTGGCGGCCGCTGTTGTGATGGTGATGGTCTGTCTTGAGCATGGTGACGTATGCGGAACCCATCCCGTCTTCTAAAGTTCGTTGCCATCTACAGATGCAGATGCATGACGTTGGCCAGAAATCGGTAGGCCTGTTGTTTGGGTGTCTTCCAAGAGAGCGCTTGCATTCCACTGGAGTGTTTACTATGCAGTTGTCGTCCTTCGTTTATCTGTCATCTGTTCTTCTTAGTAGACGACCGCCATCTGTGCAACTCTATCGATATATATGTTTATGGATCTCGAAGATAAGATAGTTTTTCGAGGATCCGTGCTGCCCAAAGCGATTGGACGTCGAGAAGGCCGATCAGCTTACGGAAGACTTCGCTCGAGTGCCCTGTGAGTGGTGCGCAGATTTCTTGACGTTGTTGTATTATCACCCCACTTTTTTGCTGCATAAAAGAGCGCTGGGCGGACTACTGAATCGAAAAGGTGAGCACCAGAGTTTGGGGTGCGTTATCTGGTCTATGGTTTTTTTTTTCTGAGTAGCACAAAGGCGGCCCAGACTACTCTCCTTCTTACGTCTGATCCATCTTTCAAGTTGCTTCCCAAGTTTACTGAACGTGTAGGGTACACGTTCGAGGTGCCTCCCGTAATGAGAGAGCCATGTAGTTCAGTTTGTTCGTCTTTGAAGTTGGATTATTCATGAACTAGATCTTCATCCTGTTTCATACGTAACCCGATCCTTTTTCCTCCTTGTTTTTCACTGCTACTCTTCTGAAAGATGACCATATTACCTGCAAAAAGAAGGCTTACCAGAAATTTTCCATCAATAAGTATGCCCTCCTCGTCGTAGTTGAGTGATTCAAAGCTAGTCAATGAAGGTCACAACCAGGGTTATATGGTATCCCCCCGACTGATCACAATGATCCGTGACACGGTTACGATATGCTCCATGTAGCAGCAACACCTTCGGAATCCTGCTTGCTCAGTTGGCTGCGCCTCGTCCAAAATTCTTCAATATGCGCAAAAAGATAATTTTTGTTGAAAGCTTGTAGAGTCCACTCAGCAAGCATATTGAACGGTAGTTACGAAAACCCTTCTGTAACCTTCCTTAGGTGGGATGACTCTGTGCGAAGTCCTCGAGTGGTGTTTTCTTCGTGAAGGTCTGTTGTCAGATGTCTTGCGACAAATACATGCAGATGGTGGCCACCATCTCTGAGAAAGTAGTTATGATGAACAAGTATAGGTATTATAGTAATACAGGTAGAGAATAGGGTCCTGAAACTGTGTCTCGCTTCATGTTTTCAATCGTAACTTGAACTTCAGAAGCTAAATTCTTGGGTGGTTTTCTCACCAGTGGGATTTTCATCCAGTTATCAACTACATATCATGGCGGGTTGTAGCCTCATTTTTCATTCATAAGGAAGAAGGCGAAACGTAATGTTTGCAGAGATTAGCGGCTGCGGTTCTTCATATTAAATCTCTTTGGAGCTGCCTGTAATAACGCTCTTTTCTTACTGATGTGAATCCTCGTGCAAAGATCTTCTACAATTGCCATTTATTATCAGCCAAGATGTGTGTGTTGCAGAAGGTTCAGGCCTCAGTTCCCTTCTTTATCCAAGCAAATCTCTAGTAGCAACTCTACCAAGTAGATGCGATCAGAACCTCTAGTTTTGAATCTTTCGGCGAGCAACTCGTAGTCTGCCGTCGGGTCTTCCTCTATCTGCTGGGCATGGAGAATATTTTATAAGGACGTTCTCGTTGTACACAAAATAATTTACTTTTAAGCAATGACAGCACTTTTTTCGAGCTCATGGTTGAATCAGAACTTTGCTCGTAAAGGCGCTGATCAGATCATATACAAACTTCAGGGACCACTGAGGTGTCAAAAAGGCGCCAACTTATTTGTAAGTTTATGATTGATGTCTACGTGAGTCATGCTTTTGAAAGATTCCATATCCATCAGTGGCTTTTTGTCGTCTTGAAAGATGAGTTTGCATGGAAGAGACGGGCCACGATATGAGTCCTACAAGACTGTCACCATTCTCGTTTGGTTTTTCCATTCCAAATTTTCCTATCCTACACTCGTGTTTACTGATCGTTCCTGACCTGACATTGAAGTCTCGAACAGCGATTCCTAAAAGGACTTTCCGCGGCTGATGACTTCTTCCAACTTCTTGTACGCGTATAATATACTTTCATCGAGTGTACAAGTTGGTGAGGAGCAGTTGAACATACTGATTTTCTTTTGTCACGGAAGCTGAATGTGAAGGATATCCAAGCGCTGTGGTTAAACTCTGCACGAAATGACTACATGGCAGAAATGGGATTGAGCGAGAAAGGCGGCGGCTCCGACATTTCGTAACGGATAATTGGCTCCACGATTAACGAGAGATTCGTCATCTAATTATCGTATGCCGATCCTCCTGTTTTTCGTTTCTTACAGAGCAATTACATGGATTTTGATGTGACCAGTAGCCTCAAGAAGGGTGTATAAGTCGGCGTCTGAGGAGACTGTTCTAGTATTATAGCAGCAAATCAAGAAACACTCTCTATGGCGTGTTGTAGGCTTGTTCGTTTTGCCCTTTTCCGATGTAGTCCCATTGAAATTGAGATTTGATTGGTTCTCATCAGTCGTCTCACCACCCGAAGTCGTAGACGAAAGCACCCAGTGTGTTGAATAGCGAGGCAGAAATTTTTCTGTCTCACTTGCTTCTGTTACCTGAACTCTGGGTCATCCTAACCTGAGCCTTCCTCAGTTTGTCACCACAGAAGTCAGTCGCCGGAGTCGGTGAATTAGAAAGAGAATAATACCACCTTGCGACAAGTTGATACCAAATCGGTAGTGATTCCTAATATTGCTTACAGCTGGGCTTTCCAGATGGAAATAGCGGACTGATTTTTGGCTTGGAAGGCTCTCTCCGGTAGATAAATCCCTCACTGTACTTTGCAGTCAGAAAACAAGGAACACCTTCCACCCACGATGATGCGATAAGCCATTGGAAAGGCATCTTCATAATGCCTCACTGAACGGTGATTTGCGAGAAGCGGTGATTTTTGAACTGTTACTCTACTTTCTTCACTGTGCGGTTCCAAAGTCTCTGTTACAAATGTCGAAATCTGACTTACAATGTAAAAACGTTTTAATTTCTGCTATAGAAGCTTTCATGGCAGTGTGAACAAAGACAGGTCCTGGGCCGGGATCGAACCGGCGACCTTCTGCGTGTGAAGTAGACGTGATAACCACTACACCACAGGAGGTTAAGAGCTGAAGAAAGCTATACTCAACCTCTGTTCGAAAATTGTTGAGATTTCACACTTAGGTCGAAGCTTGAAATATTCACCAAAGATTTGAAACTGTAATCGTTCGAACAGTGGTTATGGCGGCTGTTCAAAAATCATCGCTTTTGACGGACCACTGCTCGCTGAGGTCCTGTGGTGTAGTGGTTATCACGTCTGCTTCACACGCAGAATCTTCTTTGAGTCTTCTTTGGGCCAATTCACGGGCGGTGGAGTGGGGCAGAGAGCGGGCTGGCGCGGGCATCGATCGATGTCGCCTCACTGAGATGTATTTGTTTAGGGCTTGGGTACAGACCAAACGTCTGACTCTGATACCAAAAGATTCTCTCTACACGTCCATGTGCTTTTCGTGCTTCCAGTGAAGTAATAATAGTTAGATTGCACGGTGGTTGTGAAACATGATTTTTTGAAAATTTTTTAGCGATAGAAAAGGTCTTTTGAGAAAACCGGCCACGGAAAGCGCTAGCTTGAGTTTAGGCTTTCGAATAACAACTCACACTCTTAATGATAGCTTCTTTCCAGCGTAAGGGATAGGCTTGAAAATCTGGGCTACCAAACGGAAAAGAAACTCCAGAGAGCTTTCACATTAGAGGTTGAAATGCTTCACAAAAGATTCCAAGCCATAACAGTGGAGCAATCAAAAATAATCGGTTCTGGCCAACTAGGGTTGCTGAGCTTGTTCTCATCTTGTGCTCATCACGTTTGCTTCACACGAAAAAGCTCATCGGTTCGATCCCAGTCAGCAGCTGCTTTCGTTTTTCCGTTGAACAAAATGCCATGAAAACCTTTATAGCAAAAATTCCATCGTTTTGACATTCAGATCAGATTGCAACATATCTCTTAGAGACTTTGAGGTGAGACCATGCAGCGATGGAAGTATAGCAGAAACTGAAAAATCACCACCTCCAGCGATCATGCTTTCGTCAAAAATTTCATCGTTTTGATATTCAGGTCAGATTGCAACATTTCTCCTAGAGACTTTGAGGTGAGAGCATGCAGCGGAGGAAGTATAGCAGAAACTGAAAAATCCCCACCTCCAGCGTTCATGCTTTCGTGGAGGTCCTGTGGTGTAGTGGTTATCACGTCTGCTTTACACGTAGGTCGCCGGATCGATGCCGGCCAGCACCTGTCTTTTGTAGTGCTTGTTGAGAAAAGAACTGCGAACTCTATTCGGGGTTGACATTTTTTACATCAGAGGTCGAAGCTCGACTTATCCATCACACTGGAACAATGCAAGTAGAGCGACACTTAGAACGTCTACTGTGGTCCTGTGGTGCATTGGTTAGTGCGTCTGTTTCACACACTGATAATTTACGGTTCGTCCCACATGAAGATCTGGATCGGTACTTTTGAAATGAACAAGACACCAAGGAAATTTCCATTCACAAAGGAAGACTTTACAATACTAAGAGCAGAGCTGTGGTAGAATATCCGCTAATGGAAGGTAACAGCCAAGCGAGATAATCAAAGCAACAATTGGTACATTTTTTGGTGTAGAAAAAACCTCCTGATGATTATTCTGTGTAGATTATTCAGGTCGGTTTACCAAGTACAATTCAGGTTCTTTTCGGTTATAAGGAAACACATAAGTATCCCACCTCATTCGCTGAAGGAGAATTGTTCATGGGAGTGTTAGTAATCATTTGCAAGCCTGAATCTCTGGCTAGAGTTAGCATATGGCCGACTTTCGAAAAGAACGTTGTGCAACGCTGTAAAGTTCAAAATGAAATTATGTTTCACACGCGCATATTTTTCGCCCCGAGCAGAGCTCACTTTTGAGACTTTAGTAATAAAATCAATAGCATAAGATTTAAAGGTTCCAGCCCTGTGCTTATTTTCATGAAAGACCGTTTCTCTGCAGCCCAGCAGGGAAAATAAGATTGAAAATCACTTGCGCCACAAGGGGACTTTGGCTATCCTACGGGGTGGGAAGGCGAGGCGCAGGGAGTTTGTGACCGTTTCAAGCCGCCGATTGTTTGATTGGCCCTTTCGCGTGCCATAGCAAAGTACGATTTTTGTTATTCAATTAGGAATTGCTTTTCAAAATTCTACATTAAACATCTGACTTTAGTAGTAGAAAATTTTTCTACACCTTCATGTCGTGTTCTCAGCGAAGCAATAATTGAATTGTGAGCAGATGTGAAACGAAATTTCATTTTGAACCTTACAGCATTAAAAAGGGTTTTCTTCGAAAAACCGGTCATGCATGGGCCTAGCCAAAGGATTTAAACTTTCGAATGCTTACTCTCATTCCTATGGAAAACCCTTGTACAGCGAATGAGGTCGAATATTCACTTGTTCCCTTACAACCGAAAAGAACCGAATTCGTTGTTTTGTATTGCAGTTTATCCCTTTTCACTGTTTTCCAGATATGTAACAACACTTAGCAAGATATCGTTCAAATATTCATTATTCCATATCTTTCATCTCGTGTGTGTTCTTAAGACCACAGCTCAAATTTCAATATGCCTGATAATCATTATTTGAGCCACACATGTCAGTGGTCTGTCAATGAGGGCTGACTTATAGAGCCGATACTCTGTGTTTGGTGAGTTCTTCACTGGACATAGAGTGTAAAACGTACGTCGTCGCTAACTCTTATTGTGGGGACTGGAGCACCCACAGAGATTAGCAAAAGACGAGAAAGGGCAAACTGCCCGACTGACGAGATCGCAAGATCGAAAACACGTGTATCGGGCTCTATAAGTCAGCCCTCATTGGCAGACCACTGACATGCGTGGCTCAAATAATGATTATCATTCATTATTCCCTCAAACTGTGCTGAATTTTTAGGCGAGATCTCGAAATAGTCGACTGAAAGGAATTGCAATAAGCAGTTTTTGCCAGCCATGATCCATGCAGTCAACAATCAGTCACTGAAAGAACGCCATACCAAGTGATCTTTTCACTTGACATATAGTGATAGATCTTCGGCGACGACTCCTGATTATAGTACGGACGAGCAATCGAATGGCATGTAATACTGATGAGCTTGCCGAGCCGTAACGTACGTCACTATAGGTGGTCATCCCAGATCTCATAAAAAACTCGAAACATTCCATCAAACAAAACATTTATTATTCTCTTTCCGCATGTGAATGTACAGAGTACAACTGAAGATGTTCCTCTATACAATGGATAAATAAGTCTTGGAGCATCTTCAGCTTTCTTTTCTCGATTCCATCTCTTTGTTTTTGCTCAGATTTCTTTGCTTGTCTGCTGCCACCACGATAACATCAACAGTTGGTAGGCCTTTTCGTCTTCGAATGACATCCATATATCCTCGAGCGTGATTTGGTGAGTCACCTTTGATACCATATTCTTCCATCTCCTCTAACGTAGTAGGTTGCCAATACGGATACTGTAAAGTGGATAGAAATCAAAGACTTGGTATATCAAAGAAGACCAAAAAATACCATAACTATGCTTGAAACATAGCCACACTTCTGTAGATGACCAACAAATGTTGGTCAACAGCTCATGGATCAAATGAAGCTGAATCCTGAAGGGACGGAGGCTCTGAATCAGCACTGGGTAGAATCAAACCACATTTTATACCTTCGGGACGGCGACCATTTTAGGCTTTGCGCGCGATTCGGACGGTATGAAGAGCGGCTGCTGGCGGAGGAGTACTCTAGTTAATGATCTAGTATATATGCGGTGAAAACTTCTATCTCAAAAGATCTCTTCCATCACTAAAAGATGGAGTACCACTGAAGAGATTCCCACGAAAGTGTTAGAAGTTCAAAGAACGCCCATGTATACTAACAAACTGTCTCGCAACTATCATTCAATAATACAATTCGAATCGAGCTTAAATTGGGAAGAACTTGTGAATCTAATAAATTCACTCCTAGAGTTTGATTCTGATCGATCTTGATTCTCCTACGGACAGTAGGGGATACTACCTTGGCGGAGCCGAAGTCATTCTTTACCCTTTCGGATAAGGGATATTATTAGAGTTCAGTGCATAAGCAAGTGAATAGCTTTCGAAGAAATCCAAAAACTCTCGCCTATAATTGATCTCTGAGATTTTCCATGCATTCGACTTCATCAAGCATCGTCATAGGTGACTGAATGCGTATATGGCCTTGACAATGACTCGCGGTGGCCTACCGATGTAACAAATCAGTGGTGATTCTCTACCAAGCAAGTCTGATTACAGCTTGTCCACCCCAAAGTGATGGAAGGTTTGGCGAATCATGAGTACTGGGTTGAGCATTTAACCACGTGCGCGCTGCTGAATACCTTTGACCACTGCGCGACACACTCTCGAACGATATGAATATTGTTTGAGTCCCCAGCTTCCACGTTACACGATTATGGTTTGAAATCTTTGAAGGCTATCTTGACTTCAACGCAACGAATACTATTACGCCTAGGAAACATCTAGTGTTTTAATTGCATTTTTCACGTTGTTATTGATGTTTCATACATACTTAAGAGAACTGAGTGGTGAGCAAAAACACGACATCAGACGGGAGTCTCGGACGGGAGTCGAACCCGCGTGTCCCCCCTATCGGAAGCGCATGCTACCACTTCACCACAAAGGCACCGTTTCACCATCACCCACTCTCTCAAAAATGTTGCTATCACTCACCAATCTATAACAAGTTTGTCGGGTAAGCAATATCGCGTTATAAACCCAATCAAGCTGATAACCATTGTGAAATGTAATACCCATGATTCCTAATCCCTTTATGGGGTATGTATGGGTGAGACATGGGTTCAACTCTCGCCTGAGGTAAAATTTTGTTCACCACCAGTTTCTCTTAGGTGTAATGGAAACATCATACGATTGCAAAAAATGAATAGAAATATTAGAAATCATGAGTAACGATGTTCAATAGAAATCAGTTATTGCAGGCCTTCTTCGCTGTTTGATAATTCTTCAGGACTCATTCAATAGCGCAACACTTGGCGGTTTCAAGGATGTGCTTGTTCCTTAAAGAGAGTCTTTTAGTGCATGTAGCAGCGTGAATAATGCTGAGTTTCACACTCCGAGCAAAGCATTTGCACGGCGGGGGTGTATGAATGGGTGTGTCGATGGAATTTCGTATCATTCGCAACATACGACACCAAAGTAGATAGGGTTCTAAATTGATCCTTTGACAAAGTTCAGTATTTCACGTTCGTTTCGAGTGTTTTCTTGAGACCATGCTCAAATTTCATTATATTACATAATTATTATTTCCGTCAACATGTCATGCGGTTTGCTATTGGTCCTTGTGCAGCCCCGATACATGTGTTTTGCCTTGAGCAGCCTTGTCAGTCGAGCAGAACCCTTTGTCTTTAGCCAGTCCTTCCGTGGTGCTGCAGTCTCCGACTCATTGTAGGCGACGACGAACGATTTACACAACTGCCGTCAAGTGAAAAATCACTAGATCGGCGGTGTTGCACATTCGATTGTTCTCGTTTGTTATTTTGAAATATTACCCAGATCGTTTCGAGTGTTTTCTTAAGATCACGCTGAAATTTCAATATATCGCATGATTAGCTATTTGAGCCAAATGTTATGTGGTCTGTTGATGGGCTCTTGTACAGCGCGATACATGTATAACAGTCAAGAACAATTGAGTGTACAATACTGCAGATCTAATGAATTTTTACATGACGGCAGTTCCTTCGTCTTTGGCCAATCCTCTCAGGATGCCCCAGTAGCCCATTAAGAGTAGGCGACGACGAACGATTTATCTGCCCGACTGGCGAGGCTGCTCAAGGCCAAAACACGTGTTTCGGTCTGTACAAGTGCCTATTAACAGACCACATGCGTGTTGGCTCAAATATTATTTATGGAATATACTGAAAGTTTCGGTAACTAATTGGCTTCGTCAATCTAGGTGGATTCTGGAGCTAAGTCTGTTTTCGAGAAGTTCTTCGTAGAGCGCTGGAAGAGCGAAAAGAAGATTAAGTTGCGCACTCCTTGATTTAGGCTTTATGGCGAGTTCATTTAGTAGTATAAGATGAAAGTAAAAGCCGAAGCTATTAGAACGGTGAGACGAATAATGCCTGCTCAAGGTGACAGGCAAGTTTCTTCTAGCTGTTACAGTTTCGTGAATTTTCGAATAGAGATTGCTGCATAGTTTTCCTAATGAGCACTGCCTACCAGATCTTTGCCGCGATGAAACGGGAGCCAATTTTACGCGCAGAGCAGACGTCACAACCACTACACCACAAAAGCCTAACGAGCGTTGGTTCGCCAAGAGCGGTGATTCGAGTCTCCGCTACACTTCCACCGCTTAATGGTTTTGCTAAACGTGCTTGAGGCGAAAGTCAAACTGACCCGCGTGTTAAAATCTTCACTGTCAAGACCTTCATAGCAGTATTTCCAATTAAGAGAGCAAAACAAGGTTCTGGCCGGGATCGAACCGGCGTCCTTCTGCGTGTAAAGCAGACGTGATAACCACTACACCACAGGACCTCAACGGACACTGTCTCGCTAACAACGGTGATTTTCCAGTTGCTGCTAAAATTTCATCTCTTAACTTTTCGTTTAAAACTTTCGTTTGAAGTTTTACAAAGCTGTAGCAAACAAAAGAAAATTACCTTTAATGTTCGGCGCCTATTATCGCGCGTGTAGTAATCGTACCGCGCGCGGCGAATCCAAAGCTGCTTCGAAGGGGCAAGAGTTTCGTTATTTATTTGGAAATCTTTTCCCCGTTTGTAGAAATTTCTAAATGTTTTATTGCAGAATTGCAGAAAAGATCTTCAAATAATGGAAATGTAGTGGCAACTAAGGAATCACTGGTGTTGCCGCGACTCAACGGGGGTCCTGTGGTGTAGTGGTTATCACGTCTGCTTCACACGCAGAAGGTCGCCGGTTCGATCCCGGCCAGGACCTCGTTTTGCTCTCTTCATTGAACAAACCTTCATGGAACTTTTTATACCGAAATAAGAACATCTACACGCTACGGTCAGATTTCGACATCAGCCGCGGAGACGTTGAAGTGATATTGTGGAAGTAAAGTAAAAACTCAGGAATGACTGATTTTGCCGAAACATAGATAATGGAGATACCATGATGTAATGGTTATTATCTTCTGTTTGACATGCTAAAGATCGTCGGTTCCATACTGGTAAGAGGCCATGGTTTGGCAGCGTTCACTGAACAAACTGCCGAGATAACTTGATGCTTTCCCGTTACCTCGAGACAATTTTCGATCTTTGGAGAGCAGGGTCTTTTTCGCACTTTTTGCAGAATTTCAGTGGTCATTCGACAGCACAAATCTCAGTGATTCGAACACTTCGCTTCTGTCCCAAAATTTCCGTTTTAGCCTTCCACGTTCCAGATTATGGTTTGAAATCTTTAGTGACTATCTTGACTTCTACACAACGTAGCATTATTATTACGCCTAAGAAACTTTCAATGTTTTAATTGCATTTTTCACATTGTTATTGATGTTTCATACATACCTAAGAGAACTGAGTGGTGAACAAGAACACAACCTCTGACGGGAGTCGAACCCGCGTTTCACCCATACTGGAAGCGCGTGCTACCACTCACTGCAAACTCACCGTTTCACCACCACTCATTCTCCAGTGTCTCTACTATTGCTATCACGCACCAATCTATAACAAGTTTATATGAAAATCGAGAAAACTTATCTTGATTAATTGACGCGAGGTTGGTTATTTAGTCGTAGAAATTAATTGTGCCGAGGTTTATAGAAAGTCGAACTTTTGAATTATTGCGATATAACAAGTTTGTCGGGTAAGCAGTATCGCTTTATAAACCCAGTTAAGCTGATAGCCATTGTGATATATAATACTCATGATTCCTAATACTTTTATGGGGTGCGTATGGGTGAAGCGTGGGTTCAACCTCGCCTGAGGTAGAATTTTCGCTCACCACTCATTTCTCTTGGGTGTAATTGGAACATCATACGACTGCAAAAAATGAATAGAAACATTAGAAATCATGAGCCTTCTGCGCGTAGAGCAGACGTCACAACCACTACACCACAAAGGCCGAACGTGCATTGGTTCGCCAAGAGCGGTGATTTTTGTGTTACCGCTATACTTCCACCGCCTTACGGTTTTGCTCAACGTCCTGGAAGCAAAAGTCGAAATCTGACGTGCCTGTCAAATTCTTCACTGTAAAGAATTTCATAGCTGTTTGTTCAGAGAAAAGAGCAAAATCAGGTCCTGGCCGGGATCGAACCGGCGGCCTTCTGCGTGTAAAGCAGACGTGATAACCACTACACCACAAGACCCCAGCGAACATCGTATCGCCAACATCGGTGATATTTCAATCGCTGCTAAACATTCATTGCTTTACTTTTCATTAAAACCTTTGTTTCGAAATTTTAGAAAGCTGTAGCAGTCAAAAGAACATTATCTTTCATGTTCGGCGCCGACTATCGTGCGTCTAATAATCGTGCCGCGCGCGGCGACTTCAAGGCTGCTTCGAAAGGGCGAGAGTTTCGTCATTCATTTGGGAATTTTTTCTCCGTTTATAGAAATTGCTAAACGCTTTATTTTAGAAATGCAGAAAAGATCGTCAAATAATGGAAGTATAGTGGAAACTAAGGAATCACGGTTTCTGTCCAGAATTCACCAACGGTCCTGTGGTGTAGTGGTTATCACGTCTGCTTCACACGCAGAAGGTCGCCGGTTCGATCCCGGCCAGGACCTCGTTTTGCCTTTTCATTGGACAAACCTCCATGGAACTTGTTACATCAAAATAAGAACGTCTACATGCTGCAATTCAGATTTCGACATCTGCCGCGGAGACTTTGAAGCGAAATTGTGGAATGATGGTAGTAAATCAGGAACTGAAGAATGAGTGTTTTGGCGAAGCACCGATTATGGTGATACCATGATGTAATGGTTATTATCTTCTGTTTGACATGCTAAAGACCGTCGGTTCCATCCCGGCAGGAGGCCATGGTTTGGCAGTGTTCATTGAACAAACTGTCGTGATAACTTAGTGCTTTCCCGTTACCTCGAGACAATTTTCCACTTTTCAGAAGCAGGGTCTTTTCCGCATTTTTTGCAGGATTTCAGTGGTCATTCGACAGTCCAAATCTCAGTAATCCGAACACTGCGCTTTTTTTCCGAAATTACACTTTTTGTGCGTTGTAGCAGTAAGAATGACATTAAATTTCACACGCGAAGCGTTTTGCGCTGGACACTGCTTTTCTCTTGAACAATTAGGAATCTATCAATAGCCCGAACTTCGGCGATTTGAAAGTGTGTTTGATTTCTGGACAGGCCTTGCTGTTGCGCTGTAGCAGCCAGATAAATTTTATCTTTCACATTCGGCCAGCATTATCGCGCATCTCTTGAATGCACTGCGCGCGGAGATCTCAAAACCGCCCCGGAAGGCGCGGTTTTCGCTATTTGTTTCAAAATTTTTCTCTGTCTCATAGAAAATTCCGAGATTTACGTATTAGAATTGAAGGAAAATCATGGAGGAGTAGAAATATAGCGGCGACTAAAAATTCAAAACAAAAAACTTGGAGAAAGAATTTCGAATTGAAGAGCGTGAATACGCTCGACTATGCGCAGCAGGGTGAATCTTGATTTTATTTTTGCTGCTAAAGCACGCCAAGAAGGTTCTTTTAGAGATCAAGCACAGTGTCGGGGTCCTTTAGAAAACGAGCACAGTGTTGGATTCGCCGAAAATTAAGCTATTTAATGGTCTCTGAAAGTTCGTGGAAAAGCTAAGATAGTCTTTTTCCCAATGAGTTCAAAAACGCATTGTCATAATCGACTTGCAGTAAACTTTTTAAATTTCCGATTAGAGGTTGCCGTATATTATTCCTTAATGAGCACTGCAAAACCATGTTCGCCCCTGGATCAAATTGGCGACCCTCTCCATGTAAAACAGACATGATAATCACTTCACCAAGGGTCCCCAACGTACGGAGGATCGCATGAAGCGGTGATTTTGAATTGCTTCCGTACTTCCATCGCTCTGCGGTTCCTCTACAAACTCCCTCGTGCGATCGTCGGAATTCAACCTGTAATGTAAAAACGTTCTGATCATGCTACGAAAGTTTTTAAGTCCTTTTATTCAATGAACAGAGCAGAACTAGGTCCTGGCCGAGATCGAATCGGCGACCTTTTGTAAGCAGATTTGTAACCTCTACACCATGAAACCGCCATTACTAGTGTTTCGCCAAAAGACGTTATTTTTGAGTTTCTGCTATACTAGCACCGTTTCACAGTTTTGCTTCAAAGTCTCCAGAGCAAATATCAAAATGTGACCCGCAAAGTGAAAATGTTTTGATTTTTTGCATTTTTCATGGCAGTTGTTCTATAAAGGAGACCAAAATAAGGTCCTGGCCGGAATCGAACCGGCGACCTTCTGCGTGTGAAGCAGACGTGATAACCACTACACCACAGGGCCTCAGCAGACAATGCTCCGTCAGAAGCAATAATTTTTGAACAGCCGCCCATACCCACTGTTCGACGATTATAGTTTGAAGTCTTTGGTGAATATGTTAAGCTTCGACTTTAAATGTGAAAGCTTATCAATTTTCGAATAGAGGTTATGGTATAGCCTTCTTCAGCTCTTATCCGGTTGACTTCCGCGAATCCAGAATGGGCATTTCCGCCAGCGTGGGGAACGACTCCACCTCCTCTGTCCCGATTGCTTACCGACTAGAGTACTACTTTCCGTTGCAATACGAGCAGCTAAGCTTTGGACTGATTCGCGTGCCGTCTTGTAGCGAAAAGTAGTAGTGTAGTCGGCGGCTAATCGGAGCAAAGAAGGTTCATCTTTCTCGGACACGCCCAGTTAGGGTCCGCTGAAGTCGCCAGGTTGAACTATGGCCTTGATATGTCAAGCAGCGCCTCGTTAAACTTTAACGCAGCAGTCGGGGCTCGTTATCAACACAATGATGTAGTTTCACTATGACATTCAGACTTATCGCTACTAAAGGCGGTTTTGTAGCCACTAAAAATGGGGATTTCGCTAAAGAGCATTCAATAAGACTATTCGTAGTAGGAACAATGGCAACAAGAATTATAAACCAGGAGTTTATCTGTTGAAATAGACTCCACAATGCGTGGAATGCCTCTTCATATATAGCTCTCTATAGATTTTGGTCAGTACCTTTCAATCGACCTTTTGGAGACCTCGCTTAACAATTCAATATAGTGTGATAGAATGTTTTGGGCCTTTTATAAGGTGTGCTATGGCACCTCTAGTGGTAGAGGAATGTTTCGGCCTTCGACTACGTCTAGCAATAGAGGTCATATCAGACCTCATGAAAGGTTTAGAATAATTTGTCAAATTATGTCGAGTTTTCGACCACGAATACAGTTGAGGACGCCGTGGTCGAGTGGTTGTGATGCTCGTCTGGTGCGCGTGGAACCGAGCTCCACCATCCCCCCCCCCTCCCTCCTGCCTCAACTCTCTCCGGCAGTCAACAGCGACTCCTTATGGAACGCTACAGCCACGCTTTCCTCGAG